ATTTATCATCTAACCAAAACCTTGCCATATTTCGGAAGCAGAAAAAGTTACTCGTTTCCTGGGAGATACATACACTTTGGGACATAAACATACATAAATACACTATGGGACATAAACAGACATACACACACTTTGGGACATAAACAAACATACATTCACTTTGGGACATATTCACTAAAATACAGAAATAAACAAACTTTGGACATAAACATACATGCGCTTAGGAACATGAAAAAACATACGTACTTTGGGACATATACAGACATGAAAAACTTTGGGACATTAAAAACATACATACTTTGGGACATATACAGAAATACACTTTGGGACCTAAACGTACATACACTTTAGGACATAAACAAACAATTATACACTTTGGGACATAAACAAATAAATTAACAATTTGGGACAAAAACAAACATACTTACAATTTGGGACATGAAGATACATACACTTTGGGACATGAACAAAAATACATACACTTTGGGATATAAACAAATATATATAAACTTTGGGACATAAACAGACATACATACACTTTGGAACACATAATTTGAGACAAATAGATGTACACACACTGCGGAACATACAGACAAGCAAACAATTTGGGACATACAAACATGTGATATGCACAAAAAAAGATGGAGACATACAGATATGCACTTTTTAATATACAGACATACATTTAACGACATGCACATATTCATCATTTAGGGTAATAAATTCTTAAGTTTCAACATCATAAATGTAAATATCTACATATAACTGAAATCAATAATCATATAAAATAAACATTATTTGCTAAAATCCATATCAGAAATAAATATGCTTGTAATTCAATTAAAAAGTATATTCAGAGATTTCCAATAAAGTGCTTAATCATTATTTGATATTGGCAAAATTGTTTTTATTATGATCAGTAAATCAAGTCGTGAAACGGTTTTAATTCTTTCAGATTTTATTGGCTTCGTTAAATAAAAAGGGGTGTGAATGGGGGTGGGGGGTAGGGTGNTAAACTTTTAATATTCCCAAGAAGAAAATTAAATTTTATTCAATTTAAATTTTAAATTGGTCAGCTTGGATTTATTTCCCTCTCTCTGCCAGCTCTCGTCATGAAATTGGCAATTACGCATTTCTTCGTTCTCACACGTACGCACACTATTTTTTTCTACGCATGCACCTGACGCATTAAACCGTCCTTGAAAAATTTCAATTAAATTTGAAATGAAAAGGGGCGGGGCCCACAGGGCAGAGAATGCCTCTTGTTAGTAAAATTGTCTAGTTATAAACATGATACAATATACATTACACTTTTTTGCTTTTTTGAAGGTGTGTACTAGGAAGCAACTGGATTGAGCAAATTCACTATTCTCACTTTAATTATTTTTCTAACTGAAGATTTGTTAAACACTGGCTCTAGCAGGGGGATTCAAACTTTATCTATCTCTCTATCTCTCTATCTCTCTATCTCTCTATCTATCTATCTATCTATCTATCTATCTATCTATATATCTATCTATCTGTCTATCTATCTATCTATCTATCTATCTATCTATCTATCTATCTATCTATCTATCTATCTATCTATCTATTTATCTATCTATTTCTCTGTCTATCTATCTATCTATCTATCTATTTAGTTTTAGAAAATATTTATAAAAAAAACTGTTGTAAAAGAAAACTGACCTTTAAGAAAATATTTATTAAAAGCATTTCCAATAAAAAATGTTAATATTTTATGTTTCATAATTCTATTTTCGAAAACTTCAAATAAAGAGATAGTTTTTTATTCATTATCAGAAACATCATCATAATCATCATCAGTATTATTGCTATCAGAAGTATTACCATCATAATCATCTAAAGTATCATCATCATCATCATCACCATCATCAACACTATCATCATCATCATCACCATCATCAACAACTATCATCATCGTCATCATCGTCGTCATCATCATAAACTGTTATCTTATCTCTGGCACTCATCTTCTTCAAATATTCATGTTTTACGTCTAGGGTGTAACAATAGTTTCTTGCATCTTCAAAACATGTCCCGATCTGTACACATCGTTATATCTTAGTTTTGTAATATTCTTAGTTTCCCCATATAGTTGATCTGTACTCATCGTTATATCTTAGTTTTGTAATATTCTTAGTTTCCCCATATAGTTGATCGATACACATAGTTATATCTTAGTTTTGTAATATTCTTAGTTTCCACCATATAGTTGATCTGTACACATCGTTATATCTTAGTTTTGTAATATTCTTAGTTTCCCCATATAGTTGATCCACTATAGTTTCAGTAGAAGTAAATATTTCCATTTACTGATAGCGCCGATTGAAGGATTCATATCTCTAATTGGATAATGCGATATATAGAAAGATAGATGTTACCCCCAAACATTTCTATTGGTTCAGAAGACACCAAACACATGACTGAACTCTGATTGGATCAGGCGCTAATGGACTCGGCATACAGGAGTGGATCGGTACAAGAATACTGATTTAATAACTTCTGAATGATGCATGATAAAGAAAGAAGATATATATTTTTAAAACTTCGGCTTTGAATTATTATCCAATCTTTTGATTCTGCCATTTTGTAGATAATAAGAGTATTACTGAGCTTGAAGTTCGTCATACGCCAGGATATCTCTTCCTCAGTATTCAGTTTCAGATTGTTCTGAGACTTTCTGTAGTCGGACTCTTTACATTTACCCAAGTGCTGGGACATCTCTGATAGACTGATCTTCTTTTGACACCATGAATAGTTCGGACACATTGGGCTTGATACTTTGAACTTTAAACGTTTCAGAATTTCAGATAATGTTGACATCTTTAAGTTTTCAGTTTTCACCTCTTCTTTTAAAGTTTGTTGTAGCTTTACTGTGACATTCTGCTTTAAAACTTTCAATGTTTCATCTCTGGTTTTAATCTGTTTGATTTCAATTTCTTTCTTGTTGGTGTATTCATTGGTTTTGGTAAAGAATATGTACATCATATAAACACTTGTTATATTTACAGACAGTAATATCATTATTATGATAGATGTCAATGAAAATATTAAGGTTGTAGTGTCCATCCTGCTTTAGCATGTTTTTTAATCACGAATGTTCAAATCTAAGATAAGCCTTCATTCATGTTTTTATCAGTAAATCGATAAATAAATATATATAATATATTTTATTTTTAAATTTAAATTGTGTAACAATTATGAATTTTATTATTATTATTTGTTTTTGTGCTAGCAGTATTCGTATTTTCTAATCATTATTATTACTATTATTATTATTATTATAATTATTATTATTATTTTGATAATTATTGTTGTTATTATTATTATTATTATTATTATTATTTNAAAAAAAGTGTGATGTAGAAACATAATTCTAGTTTTTCAAATCCAGTCGCGGATTTTCGAATTCTTTATTTTTTACTTTTTGTTGGTTTTCACTTTTTAATGAAAATAATTACAGAAATCTAGGCAATGCATTATAATAGATTAATTTAAAGATATTTTCTAGCAACTTAAAACAGTAAATTTGTTGACCAAAAACATTTCATTGAAGATGATGCATACACGAGCCACACTATTAAATAATTGTGCTTCAACTGTTGAGACAGAACCTACTCTAGAGTTTGGAGTGTCGCCAGCCAGGTCATTGTCCTTGATTCTAACTAATCTAATAATTTCTCTAGTCTTCAATTTGAATATTTAGAGGCTTTGGAAGAAGTATATGATAAGATCCTAATATAATTTCCGTCCAAAGGGTTTGAGTCTTGCCACAAACTCAAATTGTCTAATCCACAGCTTTGAAACCTGATGGTGCAAACCTGAGATATTTCAAACTTAATCGAACAGAAGTCATAGTTTGAAATATCTAAGGTATACGACATTGGGTCGCAAAAATAAAGGCATTATAAAATCAGAGTTTGCGGCAAAGACTCAATTCCTTTGAACAGTTTACATGTGACAATTGTTAATGTATTCCAAGGCACTAATGCAAGGAAAGTTAATTGCAGTTGCGTATACTCTGCGTAGCGTACATATTGAAACCAGTTCTCTCTTGGCGGAATTTTTAAACAAGAATAGATGCATCAGTCAGTGTTCGTTGAGTATCCGAGGAGGTTAAAAGCATTTAATTTAGATAATTTTGAAAATTCACATAATAGTTTCCTATGACTAGGATATTTCATAGATTATTTTTGTGAAAATGTATTCCATGTCAGACTGTGACATTCGTTTTATGTTTACTTTTCCGCCCATGACAACCCACTGCAGTACAAAAAATGAGTACACCTCTGAAATCCTTGATTGGAACCTTGATGTATTCAATCAGTTTAAAGTTCCTGATTTCTGCTGTTTCTATATCTTAGTTTTGTAATATTCTTAGTTTCCCCATATAGTTGATCTGTACACATCGTTATATCTTAGTTTTGTAATATTCTTAGTTTCCCCATAAAATATTAATGTTGCTAAGCTGAACTTGTTTATTGCAGATTTTAAACAACAAAATTTGCACGGATTGGGATCTTGCCAATTTGTGAAAAATAAAGAATATTCGGATGAAGAAGGAAGTTATGGATATATAAAAGTATTAGTACTAAGTAGAAAGAATAAGTTGCATGATTTAAGAAAATAAGGATGTACCGTAAAGTGGAGGGTGGGGGGGTTGGAGTGTGGTTAAGGTAAGGAGGGGAGGTTGAGATGGATTTAGAAATTGGTTAACCTCTTGTTTTTTGCTCTTTGGTTTGTGTACTTCTACGTGTGTATTCTGGTATTTTGATATTTTCTGGGTTTTTTGTCTTTTAAAATATTTTTTGGCTTTTTAATAGTTTCTGATTTTCTGGTATTTTGATATTATCTGGTATTTTAAAATTTTTATATTTTCTTGTTTTTTTGGTATTTCTAATTTTGATATTTTCTGGTATTTTGATATTATCTGGTGTCCTACTAAATATTCAAGAATCAATACAAATCTAACTTTTCAAGTTTTCTAATTTTAACTAGTTTCAGATTATTAAAATGAAATGAAAAGAGGAAAATACTAGGAATAAGTGAGAATCTACTAGCTCTGAGAGGTAAGAATTAAAGATATTATTAAAGGGAATGCAAGCGCAATTTTAAGTGACCTTAAAAAATGATGTTAACGCCCGATCCACATTGGTTCCCTTAAAAACATTGTCTGATCAAGTATGAATAAGGCATCAATGTTAATAATTTTTAAAAATGATTATTTTTAATTGTTTTTTTTTTAAAGTGAGTTGCGCATTTCTACCGCAGGATACATAGAAATTAATTTAGCATTGTTCAACATAGAAAAACGACAAAGGGAGGGAGGGGTCTTACAGATCTTGTTTTTTATTGAAAACCAAAAAAATCCATTTTTTTACTGATTTGAAATGCATTTTTAAATTGCGTAGCAGAGTTTTAATGTCTTGAAAAATAATTTATGAAGAGAAATGAGCTACAAACTAATATAAACTGCACGAAGGATTAAGGTCGTGTACGTTTTTCATCATAACTTCTTTAATTAAAGAGGTATTAAGAGAATTTAAATTGTTTTGAATTGCTCATATGTAACCAAATAAATTTACTTTTCTCTACTTGTGCGTAAAATAAAGACTAAAGGAGCAACGAGATCACAAAGTCATACAGAATTGTCAATTTAATTTGACCTTATCTTCTTGGTTAGTTTGCAGTGCGTCGCGACCCTCAAGTACAAATGACACAGATTTGGGGATTCCTGTGGATTTTCCGTATTTGACACCACATAATTATCTCAGGAATATCGTTAAACTAAACTTTCGAGTTTCGTTTATGAGGTCTATTATTTTTATAGTTTAAAAAAAAAATATAAAAAAATTTAAAGTTAATATTGATAAATGATTCTATTTAGCAAAAAGTTAAAATCTACAAAACTGCCCAAACTTATTTATGGAACCTGAGTTCTGTTGCTGAGTTTCGATAACAAAGCCCTTAAGTTTTGGGCTCTGCTGCAGTAGTGTATGTTTTAAAGTGGATAAAACTAAATCAATCAATCATATAGAACTTTAGTCTAACTTGGAACGGGAAGGATCATTGCATTTCATATAGTTCTTGTAAGCTGTAAAATAAGGGGGGGGGGGACACATGAACAGTTAACCACCCCTCCTTACGGCCATTGAGGGGAGGAGCGCGGGGGGGGGGTATACTAAGTTACTTTTACAAAAAAAAACTATTACTTACAAAATAAACAAAAATAAATTTATTTTAGGTCAATTAAAATTAAGCAATTGTTTTTGGTTAATAAGCACTTTTAAAAATTTAGGTCATTTTATTTTATTATATTTTTGACAGTACTTCCTGTTCCATTCTATGAAAGGAGTAAAATTGAAGAGGAGAATTGATAAAAGGTCTAGATTGGAAGATTGTATTGTATTGTTGATAAAAGGGTATAGAAGCAAGTATCAAGGAATTATTTATTATTAGTGTACACTCTGTAGACTGCTCACTGCACAGTGTAATAGATGATCTATTATATAAGTTAGGAATATTGCCGGAAAGGGCTTATATTATTAGGACTAGGACTCGACCTTGGAGTAGGACACTAGCACTAGAACTGCTTGATAGTAGGACCATAGGACTGGAACTAGGACTAGAACTACATATTTCTAATTTTAAAAAGTAATTCAATTTTTTTCAGAGAGAAGTACAGCAACAGAAAAAGCTAAAGAAAAACACTTTCTTGATTTTATTATGCAGGAAAAGGAGTTTTAACCTTCTATTATTCAAAAGAACCACTTTATGAAAAAGAATGAAGTAAAACAGCCCTGAAGTGAAAAAGTAAGATGTGAATGTGAAATTGTTTTCTGAAATATGATCGAATTCAAAGATTTAACCGATTCCACCGGTTTGGCCGAGACTAAAGGCTTAACCGATTCCAAGGAATTATTCGAAACAGGAGACTCGATAACATAAACAGCAGGAAACAGGAAATACAAGAAAAACAGGAGAAGCAGGAATTAAGAATGGAGGGGGGTAAATCTAAACTGGAGTCCTGGAGTGCTACCCTTGGAGCCGGAGGAAGGGGAGTTATGAGAGCAGCAGGTACAGTTTACTCATAGTTACTCCCGCCGTTTACCCGCACTTGGTCTTAAATTACGATTTTAGCTATTCTTGTCTATGAAAGTCGACCCAATCAAATTAGAATCTCAAAGCAATATAAAAACATTTAGTTGGTTCCCCCAGACATACATACAAACAAACAAATAGAGATTATTACAGAGAAAATTTTACAAAACATTTCCCCTTTATGTTTCTCATGTGTTTCTATGTGAAGAACCAGAGAAAATTTTACAATACATTTCCCCTTTATGTTTCTCATGTGTTTCTATGTGAAGATCAGAGAAAATTTTACAATACATTTTCCCCTTTATGTTTCTCATGTGCTTCTATGTGAAGATCAGAGAAAATTTTACAAAACATTTTCCCCTTCATGTTTCTCATGTGCTTCTATGTGAAGATCAGAGAAAATTTTACTAAACATTTTCCCCTTTATGTTTCTCATGTTTTTCTATGTGAAGATCAGAGAAAATTTTACAATACATTTTCCCCTTTATGTTTTTCATGTGTTTCTATGTGAAGATCAGAGAAAATACTTACTTCAACTCTTAAGTTTGTAAAAACTGGAAGACAATAGGAATGCGGAACTTTTCTGTTTTTGTTTGTGTGAAGGGGGGGTGTGTGTGGTTGGAATTCGTAAAGGGGGGGGGGTTCTTAAGAGTGTGTGTGTGTGTCCATATAGGGCTCGACATATACTCCACATAGATTCAGACTGCTATGACTGCTATCAATTTTTAAGACTGTCTCAATTTTGAATCGTCACCACGTGTTGGACCTTGATTTTACCTAAATAACTATATCTTAATATTTTTTAACCATAAAATGCTTGGTTTTTGCTTTAGCTATTGGCAAAATTCTCATCCATTTTTGCACAAGGTCTTGCAACCTTTAAACCACTGTGTAACTTGGATACATATTGGATTATCTCCAAGATTTAACTCCAAAAAACCTAGCTACACCAATCTCAACAAACCTTATATTTTTTGCATTAAAGTTTTTTATATTTTCATTTATTAATTCTGAGTGATTCAATGTTTTAAAATGTTTTTAAACATCCCGAAAATCAAATCCCAATTTATATCTTTGCACAATTCGATATGATGTGGGACACCCTTTACCTTTTAGTTAATTGTAAATTTTATTACAATCCCATTTTTATTTTTTTTCTTATAAAAGCCGGCCTCGTAAAAGCCTAAACCATGGAATTAAAAAGTAAATATAAATAATACCAACAAATATTAATTTAGACATTAAAGTTTCAGTTTTGGAGCAATATTTGTTATCATGCTATATGATTTATTAAGTAAAATTCGACATTTACTTGATAATGATTATTTAATATCATAATAAAAGGATACAGTATCAATAATGTTATACTATTTGATTACTATTGATATTATGTAATATTATTATTATCATTATTATTATTATTATTATTATTATTGTTATTATAATTATTATTATTATTATTATTATTATTATTATTATTATTATTATTATTATTATTATTATTATTATTATTATTATTATTATTATTATTATTATTATTATTATTATTATTATTATTATTATTATTATTATTATTATTATTATTATTATTATTATTATTATTATTATTATTATTATTATTATTATTATTATTATTATTATTATTATTATTATTATTATTATTATTATTATTATTATTATTATTATTATTATTATTATTATTATTATTATTATTATTATTATTATTATTATTATTATTATTATTATTATTATTATTATTATTATTATTATTATTATTATTATTATTATTATNCTATCTATCTATCTATCTATCTATCTATCTATCTATCTATCTATCTATCTATCTATCTATCTATCTATCTATCTATCTATCTATCTAATCTGTTGAACCTATGAAATTACTAATGCTTGGAGAGTTAAACCTCTATTGTTCCTGATTTTCCAATTTTCTAAATCTTATTGTTAATAGTTATTTAACAAGGACAAAAATATACAGGGTTAACCTGTAACGTAATCGATGAGACTTGATAACGGCCTAAACTCTCTCAATATCACGGTCTGAAGGTTGAATACGTCTTTTGCTTTGTCGTAAATGACTTTTATTTGAAATGAGAAATTAATAAACTAAAAATTATTACGAAGGTGCACTTTTCTCTATAACAAAAGATTTCACTATGATAGAAACAAGAATGCAAATGCATGTAAGGAGCTTTTAAGGGGAGGGGTAGGGGGGGGGAAGGTTAAATACAGACCCTCAATTAGATGAGAATTTTGTAAGGGGGTGCACAAAGTTTTAATGTTGAAATTAGATGATAGAGATAGATCATGCAAGAAGGGGGGACAAATGCGACTTTTTTTTGTAGATCAGAAAACCTCGGAGAAGGTTAAAATTAATGAATCAAGATACATGATCATAAGTTTTACTCTGACCCGAATCTATATAATCTTAAATCGTAAAATAGGTCTGATATGGTTCAGTNTGAGAAAAGAAGGTTGTAATGAGCTCATTAATTACAAGGATGCATACAAAAACGAATGAATACTTTTAAAATGGAAAATAACTGTATAACCCCCTCCCTCCCTCCCTCCCTCTATATTTAAAGGTGCAGTTTACATTTATATGATATTTTGAATATAAAAAAAACTTGAGAGAAACTTAAAATAATTAAAAAATGTAATTTATTTGAACAATAATATATTTTTGATTCAAATTTAATTAAAATAAATATTTCTTATGAAACTTTCATAAACACTGGTATTAGTGTTAAGAGTGGTATAATTGAGCTGTTTTAGCAAATACCACTCTTATACAACCCTTCTTAAGAGTCATCTTTCTAGAAAGACTAGAACCGACCTTTGATTGCGTACGTTTTCTTTGACCTTGAGTGTAATGTGTACATTCAGAAATTGCACAGTACAGATGTACACTTTGTACTTGGAAGTATTGCGGCATTTGCGATAATTAATTCAAAAATTTCCCGAATTTGAAATTTCCACTTACAAAAATAGAAGGCAAGGCAATGCTTGTAATTACCACGACTGTATGAAAAAGTGTAAAAATGGCAAAACTTGTTGAGGATGACTTTTTCCTATTTTCATCTGAAAAGCAAGGTTTGATTTAATTACCATTTTTTAAATATATTATATTCAACAAACTGCGTTCATCATTGTTTTTTTTTTTTAATCTAAATAATGTAAGCTCTGTGGAACTGTCCTTTAGAGAAGGCTTTTGGGGTCTGTCCTAGTATACGATTTTTGGACCCCCATTTAATCTTAAATATTTTTTTAACTGACAATAATTATATTACGTCTATAATGGACGATACAAGAAACTTTTTTGTAAAGATTAGATTTTACTTATTAATTCTAAAACTGATATTCCTGGAAGCAGAAACATGTTAATCCGTGGAGGAGAGATTATAGTTTTTTTAATTAAATATTTAAAGTAATAACTAATAATAATAATCTCTTTTGCTGTTAACATGTTGTATTTATTATTCTTTTAAAAGAGACTGTTTTGCGAAATGTCAAGTGACCTTCAATTTGAAAAATGCCACTTTCAATGCACAATAGTATTCTTTTAACTTGAGAAAGACATTGTCGCTTAAACCGTTGAAGCATAAATCCTGTGTTCATTTTGTAGGGAAATCATACTGAGAAGGATATCGCATTTATCCTTGGGCCATACAAAGGTTTCAAGTGAATCGTACATGCCACTCTAAAGATACTCTTGAAATAACATCTTTAATAACACTAAAGAAATATAAATATATGATTGTATTTCTGTGTTTATTCAGGAGGCCTTACATTGAGAAGAGGGGAAACCTCTGTCAATCCAACTTCTTCTAAGATGGTAGGTTTCATAATATTATATAGATAGTAGTGATTTCGTTATACTTAAAAATTATCAAATTATAAGTGAATTATAAAAGAAAATTAGTCAATTTCATTGTGACCCCCCCCCCCCCCGGATCCGGGTGCAACCATGCTATTGAAGCTGAGGGGGGGGGGGCCTTATAAATTCACAGATTATAACAAAAACATTTTTTTTACTTAAAGTAAGTGTTGGTGTTTTTTTCCATCAAAATTCCCTAGGATTGGAGCAGTTCTAAATAAAACCAAACAAAATCTAAAATTTTAAGTTTCTGCACATGGCAAATATCTTAATACAAACTTTTCGAAGATTCTATTTTTTATAACCAATTGGAACTTAATTTGCTTGTATTTATGTAAAAATATATTTTTTTGTGTTAGAATTGCTACTTTTAAAGATTTTAAAATTTAAGCTTATTTAAATTTAAATTTCTAGGTGACGATATCGGTGGTTGGATTATCAGGAGGAGAAAAGGACAAGGGTTCAATGGGTGTAGGCAAATCTTGTCTCTGTAACAGGTAACGCCCCTCTCCCACCATCCTTAAGGGACTGTTTTCGTTATTATAAGCGAGTCTAAATTTAAAGGGGGTATGCTTCATTCACAACAGTACCCTTGAAACCTTTATACTGATCCAAAATTTAAAAGAAAACGTAATTTTTCTGGCTTTTAAAGGGTTTAACTCTGTAGATTTGTCCATTTTTTCTGAAGCAAGATATGTTCAATTCACTTTGCAGAGAAACCACAATTAAAAGTTATAGTTTTCAAAAAAAGTAGATAACTAACTAATATTTTGATCAGACAAAGCTTTTAATGGTACGGTTGGAAATCGGACATATCTCTTTTAATGGAGAGATCACAATTTACGTCTAGATTTCTTTACAGGGAGCGTCAAAAAAAAATTAAAGGATTAAATATCACCTTATCTAAATGAAATTTAATTTGTTGAAAAAAAATTTTATAAAAAATCTTTTTCCTACCCTTCTTAAATCTCCTTCCTTTCCCTTTAATTCCCTCATCTTTTTCCTCGTCCTAAACCCTCATTCCCCCCCTTCTCCCAATCTAATCTTTTATTTTTCTCCTTTCTGTGTACCCTACCCTGCCTTCTTTTTTCCAACTTTTTAAAAAAATAAATATTTAAATTTTGTCGTGGCAAACAAAACCGATTTCTTGCACGCAACATTTGTTTTTCGCATCGCTGGTTTTGTCAGCGCAAATTTGAGTTTTACAATATTGAAATCTAGTATTATTGGGTTGCATTAGTGGATTGTATGATTTTAGATAGCTAATTTTTAAAGGATTGATTGATTGATAAATTGATTGATTGGTTGATAAATTGTTTGATTGGTTGATAAATTGATTAATTTACTATTGATTGTGAAGGTTTGTTGCCCCGTTAGCAGACGATTACCATATTGATCATATCTCCGTTCTAAGTCAGGTATTCTATCTTTCTATCGTTCTATCTATATTTAAGGATCATATCTGTAACGTTCCACAAAATGAATTAAACGTCAACGATAAAACGTCGTCTATTTCTTCTCTGCATGAATTCAGAAGTTTTATTTTTTTCCTTATATCATAAGATTTGATTTTAAAAATGGAACTACTGTTTCTTTCATATTAATACATAGATTTTGTGCCAGTTTTATGTCGTCTTTGAAGTCTGAAGAATCGCCGTTTTTTGCCAACCCGGCCCTGTATCAAAATTCTTACAATCTATAATTGTTTTCTTAGCTTATTTTTTAGGATCATTTATTTCTAGTCTGATTTCTAGAAATATTTATTTTTAGTCTGATTTTTCTGGTCGAGTTGTGAATAATGATCACTTCCTATACTGGGGAGAGATGTACAAGACGAGCGAAGACGGGGTAGATTTTAATATTCAGGTTAGTAATAGCAAAGTATTAAAGAGACTGTAATTAATTATGTTGTAGAATAGAATTGTAAATATATTAATACTTCTTTTTACCCGAATCTCTCAAAATCATTAAACAATGATGATATTTCTATTGATTGCATTAGATTTCTTTCTAATTTATGTAAAAATGACCTTAACACAGTTCTTGGCAGAAATTTATTTTCTAATGCAAATGATTGTTCTTTAAATCCTTCGGATCTTAGTAAAATGTTAGTTAAGAAACAAATAAAATATTTTGATGTCCCATTGGAACATCAAATAATTTATATGTTGAAGGATTCGATGATTACGTAATAACCGAAATGATAAATATGTTATGTAACTAATGAGTAATGATCAATGTTGTCTATTTGTGCATAATTGTGCATAATTTTGCATATTTTTCTTTTTTCTTTTGGAAACCTGTATTTTCAAAAATTTATTTAAACAAATTTAAACTACACCATTTATATATGTATATTGTATATATATCTTTGTGTGTGAATAAATCTTTATAATATAATATTAAATACTAGCTTAAGGGCCCGGCGTTGCCCGTGAAAAAAATTTGTAAGAAAAATTTTTGAAATCAAATATTTAAAAAAAAAATTTGAATTTTTTTTCTCGATTTTTTTAGCCTTTTATACCCCCGGTCACCCCTGAGTGTCCACAAAAAACTCAGCCCTATCGGTCCAGCCGTTTGGCCAGCTATACGCACCATGTCTTAGATGTAGTTATAGATAAAATACGATAATAAATGCAAGAATTGCAATCTTCTATATTTTTTAAAATATATTTTTCTTGTCAAGGTGATCGAGCAAACAGAGTTTATTGATGACGCTTCCTTCCAACCATTCAAGGCATCTGGCAAACAGGTATATAGTCTGAAGGGGGGGGGGGTATATATCATATTCTATCATGTATTTTTCTTAATAAATCCTCCAATTCCACCATTTGATTAATGTGAATTGATTAAAAAGGTGTGGTGGCTCTGTTGGTGGGCGGAATGTTGGATGGGCACCCCTTGAGAGAAGAGGATATTCCATCTTCTTTCTTTATTTCTTAATCAATCCTCCAATTTTATATGTTAGATGAATTTCTGTCCAATTTAATTAAAATAAAAATGAAGAGAGGGGTAGGGGGGAGGGGATTATCAATGAAATGAATTAAACTAGAAATTTTTTTATCCTTAAGGAAACTAGCATAATATCTAAAAGGAGATATCTTTATTTCTATAATATATGTATTCAAATTGTCGATGACAAAAATGTTTTTTTTTCTTCAAACGAAACTAGTAATTTTTAAGGAGCCGTATGTTCGACGCTGTGCAAACACAAGACTGATGTCGGCCGAGAAACTGATGTACATTTGTAAAAATCAACTTGGTAATTTTTATCATTTTTACCCTTTAATAGATGGCTTATATATTTAAGAATACGCCCATATTTTTCGATATTTAAAATTTATTTTTGCGTGAATTAAAAAAGACTAGAATAATTTTTTGTTATTTATTTAGATTTAAAAAGTTTGTGTTTTTAAGCTTAGCATTGATCCCATTTACTATAAAAACATCTGCGAATTTTCTATTTTTTGAAATGGCGATTTTTAATGGAGACAGGTCTCTAAACTAGAGTTTAAATGAACAACATTTTAAAATTATTTCTAAAAGATAAAATACCTGAAATCAACTATGAATGATTTGTATGACAGACACGAGTCTAAAATAGGATTTCCAGAATTTTGCAAAATCTGCAATAATATCTGTGCAATAAATAAAATGTACTCAGAAGCTTATCGATCTAACCAATGCTTTGCAGACGGGTACTCCATTTGTATATAAAATAATAGGTTATTGTATACGCAGTAAATATACATCAGACAAATATTTCATATACAAATGAAGTACCCGTCTGCAAAGCATGTATAATCATATGGTAGGGCGAACCGCGTCAGTTATATCCCTTCTATTCCTTACTCCCTGTACTCAACCCATTTGTCTCCTACTCCTTGTGGGAAGTTTAACTGATTTCACTTTGCTCTTTGTCAAATCTGTGAAACTTGACTCATTGGTTAAATATTCAAATTTAATCATTTTAATTTGTTCAAAAGTTACCAGATCAATCCAGAGTCGGGAATTGAAGTAGTTAAACTATCTACGCCTAGTTAAATTACTTCTTTATGCTGCAAATATTAACCAGAGTAGAAGAGGTTAAACTTGCAGTATCTAATTAGTCTACTTTTTAAAAAATGTTCACCGTATTTTTATGTTCAATTTTTTATTTTTCAGGACTAGAACAGGAGTTCACTTTACAACTATTACCAGATGGAAGATCAAATATTGATGGTTTTATTTGTGTATTCGATGTAAGTTTGTTTATTTACGATTAAAGGGACTGAACGCTTATTTTCAAGTGACTCACCATGCAAAGATGTCACTCGATGCCCGATTCTCAAAGTGACCTTGTATCCTGTATCTGATCATTAATGTGGAAGATGTTGTTGTTTTTCTAGGTTCAAATATTCCTTCAGTTAAACCCTAAATATTAATTACATCGAAAGAATTTATGAAATGTCGTCTTGACAATTTTTCAATGGGTTTTATGCAACATTCCATTATTAGAAAGTGAAGAATACGACATTTGATAAATTCTTTCTATATATTTAATATTTAGGGTTCTGTATATACTTGACTTCATTATACTTTAAAGAAACCAACATTTGAATTAATCAGTTTTCAAAATTCTGATCTTTGATATTTATTTCATACTTGATTAGTCAAAGGGGTTAAGGGTTCCGTTGTGAATCTTTGCATTGGGGGGGGGGGGGTCACTTAAAATTACGCTTATAGTTCCTTTAAAGGGAGTGAATGCAAAAAAATGAGAAACAAAATGAATGATTTCCCAAGGTGTTTCTTGTTTTGTCAGAATGTTTTTAGTTTTTAAACTCTTGTGTTCAGATTTAAGATTATTTTGTTCACAACCTTCCCCCTTTTCTTTCTTTTTCTTTCTTTGTTTCTTTCATTCTTTAGATTTTCTTCTTTCCTTGTTTAATTCTCAAGATGAAAAATTTTGGATGAACAAAAATGAAAAATGTTAATTGTGAACTTATAATCTTTTTTTTGATTCTTTTCTGAAAGTATGTTTCAAGTTTTCTAATTTTTGAAAAATGTTTACCACTGAAACCAGTGCTTGGAATCCATTTTATTCATTTTGATGCGGATCTGGGAACCGCCCTGTAAAAAATGGATCCAGATCATGATATTCCCTTAAGATTTACAGACTTTTAAACAGTTTTCAAAAGTCTTCTTTTTTGACTTTTTTATGCTGAAACTTAATGAACAATTCTGAGATTATTAAGCTTTAATAATCGATCATTAGTTGCAGATAATATTTGTGTTGGTGTTGGTATTTTGCCCCTTGGATTCGGATCTGTGGATTTGCAAATTTTTGTAGATCCAGATCCAGGAAGCCACCATATTCCGGATCTAACGGATCCGGATCCTAAACATTGCTTGAAACTAGTTTTTGTTTAGGTAAGCCTTGTCCCTAACCGGACCCTAGAGAGGCAGGTGGAAATGACTGCTCAGATTCTTAACTCCTTGCTCAAAACCAAGGGAAATATATCAGGGTTCAATCAATCAATTAATCAATCAAACAAACCTATATGTTCATCAATATGTCCATATAAAGTTCGGATTAAATAATTATTTAGAATTTTTAAAGTTATTTTATTAAACTATTAAATTGTTTGTTTGCAATAAAAATATGGTAAGGTTAAGGAGCCTGAAAAAAACTTCCCCAACCCCTTAACCGAATCTAAGATGCAAAAATGACTTTTTAGCAAACTTAAAAAAAAACGAAGAAAAATCTGATATTATTTGTTGTATAGAAGCCTATAGTACTCGCAACAACGAAGAATGACGAAGGAAACGATACATTTGTTCGAGAGGCGGAGCGGTTAATTAATAGAAAAGGAACAAATCAATTTATAAACAAAATCAATTGGAAAATAATCTATTACATCCAAAATTTTATGATTTTTTAAACAAATGATATTTTTTTAAATATTTAAAAAATTTATTTAGTAAAACTTTTAATTTATTACTAAATGAATGGCTAATTATTTTACTGGTAATAACGAATTTAATCTTAAATAAAGGTCTATTTATCAATTAATATATGTAATGAATTAATTTATTCAATGAAAATGAAGAACATCATAAGGTATCAACCCAAATATATTTCATATTTAATAAACCCCTACTGCCTGTTTAACCCCCCCCCCCCTGACAATCTGAATGTCCAATAAAACTCAAGGACCAGGAAACATGTTCCAATCTGGGTTTTTACATACTTTTTTCTGTAATTCATCCTGGTTTCATCTTCAGGGGTACATATTTTTCTCCATCCTTCATTCTCCTTCCTTCATCTTTATTTTTCATTTATTCTTTTTTTATTTATTCTTACTCTTCCTTAAAGGGACTGTAGGCATTATTTGTAATAACTCTTTTTATAGAGTAGCATGTCTAATTCACAGCGGTATCCTTAAACCCTTTATTTGATTAATAATGTGAAATATATTGTCGTTTTCCTTGCTTGTTTAATTTGCACAATGTCTCCATTGTTACCGTATCAAGCAATCTGAAATCAATTTTAGAGATTAAATACAATTGAAAATAACCAATTTTTTTTTTAAGAAATCATTCGTGGATCAGACATATCGTGTAAGGGCATCGTTGTAATTCAGACACGCCACATGAAATTACCTCCACTTCTTAGCTTTCTTTATTCCATACCTTTTTAACCTTATTTATTCCATTTTTTAAAATTATTTTTAATCCCATTCCTCTTCATTTTTCAACCATCTAAATTACAAATGCTATTCCTCAATTAACTACACCTCTACTAAGCTTTATTTATTTCATACCTTTTTAACCTTATTTATTCCATTTTCTTTGATATTTGTTTGTCCCAAACCTCTTTATTCCTTTTAATCACTAACTCTATTCATTCATGATTTATTTATTGGAATAATTGAATAAGGAAAAATATTTTTTTAATTTGAATCTAAGCCTAACTTCAGTGATTTTCTTTGGTTTGATCTCGTGGTGCCCCCCATCCTCCCCCCTCCTCTCTTGGGAGTAAACTGTGGGTCCTTCTGTTTAATCTGCATAATCTGCATAATGGTTGATGTTAAACCAGCCCTCGGGGTTCCATCTTCTCTTTTATTCTCTTGTTCACGCCATAATATTAGTCCGCAAATATTTATTGAAAAAAAGTTTATTTGGTTACCAACTTCGCGGGGCAAGGTTTGCGCACCTGAGAATTTTACAACTGCTTTTGGACCTGCAAACTTCATCAAACCAACTCATTTATTACATCACCCTGGCCGATTTGAGTGTTGGCATGTTTGCATGTTAAGTCATTCAACGTAATGACCTCCTTCAACGACTGTAATTTAATTCGGTAGGAATACTGGGAGCAAGAAAGATGTTCATTTCTAGATTGCAATTTTAGTTGCAATTTTTATTAATATTTAGGAATGGATAAAGTATGCTGTTATTGCTAAGAGGTAATTTTCAGTCCATTTTACATTGTAAGTAAAAGTTAAAGATTAGTTGAAAAAATAACCATCTGATCAAAAAGTGATAAGAAATTTAAATATTAATAAAATGAATTATTATTGATTTGGTGTGCAGAATTCCGTGAAATAATCCCAATGTAATATTAATATAAATATTAATAAAATGAATTATTATTGATTTGGTGCGCAGAATTCCGTGGAATAATCCCAATGTAATATTAATATAAATATTAATAAATTGAATTATTATTGATTTGGTGCGCAGAATTCCGTGGAATAATCCCAATGTAATATTAATATAAATATTAAGAATTATTATTGATTTGGTGCGCAGAATTCCGTGGAATAATCCCAATGTAATATTAATATAAATATTAATAAATTGAATTATTATTGATTTGGTGTGCAGAATTCCGTGGAATAATCCCAATGGTGGAGACTTCATCTCACGAGAATATTAATGTCGACAATGCATTTTTCCTGGGTAAGTTCGAATTCCAATTTCTAAGGTGGGAATTAATGAATAATGAATTAAATAGTTGAACTAGGTATGTATAGATGAACTTCTTCCACAACAGTGGCAAGAAAAAAAAGTTTAACTTTCCTGCATACTTAGTTTAACTGCTTCTTTTTTATTATTTCCGAATTCTAAGAAATGTTCTTCTCAAATCGAATTCATCACTACAACTCCATTTTGCGCCTATTTACTATGATCTTTTGCTAGGTTTTTAATTGAATAAATGGAAAAATTGAAACTGAATTTGAAAAAAATCTTTGTTATTTTTTCCTTTTGTTTTGTTTTAAACTGACTAGATCCTAGTGTTCTCAAGCTTCAAAATATATTTTTAACCCATTTACATTCATATACATGAATGTAAGAAACTAATATAATGATTTAATTCTTCAATTTTCTTTTCTTACGGCCATTGAAGACTGAGATAACTACAAAAAGAATCTTTAATAAATAAATGGTTCTCAATCTAATATTTAAATAAGCGAACAATACCTATTTAGTGTCTAGTATGGTAGATAGGACGAGGGGGCGTGTCCGTGTACAGTCCTATAATGAGGCTGGGCGTGCACGCAGAGATATTTTAGAGATGGCACAAGAACAGTTTGCCAGGTAAAATATATTCAGACAAAAGGGAAAAACATCCACAACATTTTGATCAGGATTCACAACATTTGGTATTCGGGATCCGTAGATTTTTAAGGAGCCGGACAGTAAAAACTGTTAATAAAAATTTCGCATTACAAATTTCGCGTTTTAAAAGTAAAACAGTCCCTTTAATGAGGGGCATACGAAAGCATTTTCCTAGGGGGGGCTGACGCGCTCAAAAAAATTGTTTGTGCCCTTGGCAATATTGTGCCCCCCCTGAAAACCCCTTTTTTGAAAAAATATTGATACCTTTTTTAACTATGTAAACTATTTGATCATAAACACAATTCCAAATTACACGTGTTGATACATTATTTATGTAATTTTTCTTAAGTGGACTCATCAGACACTTTCTCTTAATACTGTGGTGTAAGCTTCAAGGGGTGAAAAATAGAAATGGAAATGTTTCTATAAAAATATCTATTTTGATACATATCGATACATATTGTATAATTTTAAATAATGATATCAAAGATATTTTTACACTGAAGACAGTATTGATTAAAGCTTTTTTGATGAAACTTTTTTAGTTATGGGCAAACGTGAGATTTTAAAGTATTTTTAAAATGGGTTCTACCCCTCAGGGGGGGGGGGCGGCCTTCCCCCCTCGTACGCCCATGCCCTTAATTCTCATTTTTATTGTAACGATCCCTGTGTCTGAAAACTATAGTTTTATGATGGAAACTGCAAACTGGTGGGAAAACTTTAAAAAACTTTTCTTGAAAACCCGCCAACATAATATTGATAAACTTTCAGGCTAGTTCGTACAGAAGTGACGGATTATGGAGCTTCATGGACGGTTGTGGCCAAAAAATTAAGTCCTTGTGTCGAATTTCATACATTTGTCGACATTTTTGGTGTTGACGCGGCGCAACGGATATTCCGACGCCATGTGAAAAAGTTAAAAGACACTTACCTGAGTGAGAAAGTGGCGCGATACCTGGATCTTTTACCTGAGGTATACATTTCAATGATACAGTGGTAAAAAAAAATATTGGAATGATCGTCGTCTCCTTTTTCGTTATTTATTATGAATTCAGAATTGTGGCAAAGAATTTTGTATTTTTCTTCACTTAGTTCTTTCTTGAGCTGCGCCCTGATCAGTGAAAACATATCAGATATCTGCAAGTTGTCACAATTTAAATTTACAACATTTTTGTTTTGATTAAAACACAGGATGAATGCAACAACAGTTTTCTAGTGTTCCTATATTTTAATTTTCTTTAAATGACATTCAATATTTTTTAACTTTTCAGATTGTTTGATTTTCTTTAATTTTAATTCTATTCTTCCTCCTCTACACTTTTTCCTTCTTATTAACTTTATGCATTGCTGCTTTGCAGTAAAATGAAATGATTCCAATAGAAATAATGACAGTTTAAAAATAATTATTACCCTTTTTTATCAGAAACATTCCTTTTTTTGCATTATTAAATATCATTTGAAACTAGACGCTCGATTTGTTCTACCTCTGAATTCGTTCAATATTAAACTTGAATAAGAAATAATAAAAAAGAATGAGAATGAGTTTGATATATTGGTAGAAGGACATCCCTAAAACCATGATTGATTGATAGTGAACAAATCCCAACTCATTTTCTTCTCAATATACATTGCCAAACATTTTGGCATCCTCACCAGTTTCCTCCAAATTGTTACCAAATCAAGTTTACCTTTACACATTCGTTTATAAAAAAAGGTCATAATTAGTCAGAGGCCGAATTTAAAGAATTTGAGCGGCGGTTTAAACTTAAGCCGCGGCTTAAATATGGTTTGTTCCACTTAAAATTGTATCAAATGTTTCAAGATTTAAGCCGGCGCTTAATTTAAACCGGGTTTTGACAGATTTAAACCGCGTCTCAAATTCTTTAAATTCCATCTCAGGCCGTTCTTTTGAAAGTGGCAATTGGTGTCGATATTAAACATTGAATTTTTAAAGATTACATATTTATATTATAAAGCATTAATATTCAATGTTTAATTGCATATTTTGATTTGGTTTGAAGTGAAAATGAAAATCCACAAAAATCTCTAAAAATTAACATTTGATTTGGAATTTTGGACACGGAAACATCTTTGAGTAATAATAATTAAGTGATTTAGGGAATTATGTGTATTTTCACATAGGTAAATAATTCCTCTTAGAACATAGCTAACTCTATCTACCGCTCAAAGATGTTCATTGTTCAATGATAAATACTCTGTGTTATGAAAACAACCGTATAAGATTTTAATATTATTTTGATCAATTTCTTTATTTAGGTTCTTCACGAGCTCTTCCCTACCATATCTTCCCTAGGAGAAGAGTAAGTTTTATTTTATTCTTTCTCAACTTTTTTCTCATCGTCTTTTCTGTAGTTAATAATTCTTCTCTTAGTTTAACCAACAAGAAGACTTATATAAAAAGAAATTAAACACTTGACTCAAAGTCAAACATTAATTATCTAATCCGTATATCTAAACATTAATTTTTAATCCGTATATCCAAACATTAATTTTTTAATCCAGATATCTTTGCAACCTTGTGATGTAAACTTTCATTATTTTTCGCAGAATTCATAGTTCCACGACGGAAGTTTGCAAAGATGTAAGAATTAAAAATTCGAGCACACGGATTCAGTTCTTTTTTGTCCGTAATAGTATTTCTTTTGGTTAAGCTCAGCTAAAGAAGAATGATATAATGGTGCGTGGAGTTTTTACTTTTCCATCTTGTCATTTTTTTAACTCTCCAGTAAAACCGGGTAAAAACTAGTTATTTTTTTTGTTCCAAAAAAAATACCTTTAAAATTGTTGCCCAGTTTTTCTCTATGTTTCAGCATATTTTTTTCTTCAGTTTTTTATTATGATTTATTAAAGATAGTTGAAGGTGAAACTCAAAAATGTCCAATTAATAATCAAGTTTGGATTATTCTTTATTAAGTCTGATATTTTTTTTGTCCGATAAATTAAACAATCAAACCCTTCAAGTATCTTTTTTTTCTTTTTTTATTGTATTGCCAAGAAATAATTTTCTACATTTTTTTATGTATGCAAGATAAATGTTCTTTTTTTAACAACACTGTAACTTTTCTTTTTTTTCAAATCTCATATTTTTGTCGTTTCTTTTTTCTCTTTAACTATTTTTTCAAGGCTCGCAGGGTGGCAAAAATTCACTGATTTTTTTCAGAGGGTATATATTTTCTAATTAATTAAAATTTTTATGAAAAAAAATTTAATTTGTTTTAATCCCAATTCCTAAAACTATTTTTTTCTTCATATTTTAAATTTATCGATAACAGCATTTGAAATCTTCGAAAATAAAATTTTTGAGAGAAGAGGGCTGACGAGTTTAACAGAAAATATATGCTCGCTCCTGATCTTGTTCCAGAGGTGTACTCAGGTTTTTGTCAAAGGGGGAGGGGGCTATTTTTCTTTCCAGGGGGGGTGGGGGGCTCGGCACCCGTTGGGGCCTTTGAAACCAAAAGAGCCCCATCCCCTGAGTGCACCCCTGATCATGTTTCCAATGTCACCCTGTGAACGCCTCGTGTTGTTTCAGTGTATCTCATCTGTTTGACTGGAAACCAGCGACCTGCACCCTTTGCAGAAAGCTGGAAAATTCTCAAAATAAACCTTGGTAAGGAGAGAATGGGGGGGGGGGGTTCAAGGGGGAATGTACCAGTTCGAATTCGAAAGAAAGCACCAATATTGGTAGCTGGCAGCCAGGCTGCGAGACTTAGAAAGAGATATGCGGGGGTTCGGATATAATCCGCAAACTCATGGACTTGGATATAGTTTTGCGGGGCTCATGGCGGCCGGCCATCCCCTCCCTTGTTCGTCATCATTTCACAGTTCAAAGGACCGTCAAGTTATCAACGTAATTTTATGGCCATCAATGAATTACAACAATTACACTGACTCATAAAACCAATTGCTTTATAAACGATATATTTGATATAATCGATTTTTAACTTAAAATAAATGCAAGCATTTACTGCTTTTCTTAAACCTGTCTTATCAAATGAAAGCGCTGTAAAAACTCATTTAATTTTTTAGTTTTATTTTTTTATTAAAGGTCCCTTTCAATTATGTTATTTATTCCTCTAGTGGCAAGTATCATAAAATTGCCATGGCCTTTTTGATCTTTAAAACAAATTTTAAAATTAGAATTTATAAAGGGGTGATTATTTTTTTTATCTGCATGGCATGCTCTTAATATCTGTAAATGTATATATGTATATTGTTAACAGTATGAACTGGAATACAGTCGAATGTTGTCGTCTTTATTTCTTATGTTTAAATGTCTCCAGGTATTAAATTTGTAATTTTTACAACTGTCCTATTAGTGGGAAATTATAAACTACAAAATCTTGTGTTTCATTTAAGACAACAAGAAATTCACTGGATCATATTATTTTATAAAATTGTTGTATTCAAACCTTCTGTGACAAAATTTAATTAATTGAAGAGGTTCACACCCTGACTCACCAATTCAAATTCTCATAAATCTTTAACTTTTAACCGGTGATAAAGGATTTGAACTGGCGGTAGTTAGTTCAGCAACTTGGCTCCAATTTATTAAATTCCGTCCCTAATTGAACTATGTAGTAGTATGTTAAATTTGTTTAATTATTTAGCTAACAAAAAAGACAAATAATTTTCACGTTGATTGCTCAAGAATTATGTTTAGAAACGTAATACAGCTAAACCAGGGAAGGCTCGACAAGTCTTGGCAAGCATTAGCTTGAGTTTACTGTGCCAACCTTGTTTAACTTTTTTTAGCTCCGGATTTGTCAATTTAAAAGCATCAAAATGTTTGTTAAAAGCTTCTTTAAGTATTGAACCATTATTATTATCCAGGGACTGGATGCTGATCCAGGATCGGATTAAGGAGCATCCTGATTTTGACAGATGGTTTGTTGAATACCCAGAGGATACAACATGGATGGAAGCAAACCTTTTCGACGGTGATGCCTCAGAGCACAGGTCAGGAAAAACATAACTCCTTGGTGTCCTGTATTAGTTCATCTCACCTATTGTTTTAACCATTTCAAGAGTTATGCACACATGCCGCGTTGACTAAAAAGACAGTGAGAGAGCCTGTTCTATCCGCGGCGCTCGACCTCCTAGCCTGTCCTAGCCGCAGCGCTCGGCCTCCTTGCCGGTCCTAGCCGCAGCGCTAGGACTGTCTTGTAATTCAAAGCGGCAAACCTGCGTAACTCCTTGAGGCAACTGCCCCATTTTAACACAATGCTAGACGTTAAAATAACTCCTGCCGATGTTTATTAAAGTAGTTTGATTGAAAAAGCACATTAGAAATGATCTTTATCTTGAGTAATTATTATTTGTTTGAAAGTAAGACGATATTTGTGGGAAAATAACTCTGTTGTGTTTTCCCCATTTTATCGTTCATTTTAGATCCAAATGCGCTTACTGTCGCAGGAGACCGGTCTACAAAAATAATTTTTGTCATGTATGTCAAAAACGGTTGTCACTGAATGGGGGAAAGTTAATGATGGTTAATTTTTCATTATTTTCGAAGATGGCCCCTTGGGGGAGGGGGGGATTATGTTAGTTTAAAAATATGTATCCTTGAGTAGACTCTTGCCTCCCCCGGCCCCAGATTCTCATCTACCAAAGATGAAGAAGGCGCAAAAGATTTTTTTTTTTACATTTTGATTTTTTTTCTAGAATTTTTATTCTTTTTGGCGTTGAGTTTTGACCGCACATTACCGTCATTCGTTTTCTATTTGTTTATATTTATATAAATCCAGGATACCATTTGATGTTCTTGACTCTACTGAGGCTGAAACTGTTTACAAGAATCTGCTGAATAAGCTGCACGCAGAACAAAAACGGAGCGAGTAAGTGTGAATTTTGTCCTTGAATAAACACCCACCATAAGAAATTTTTGTCATTGCTATAATTTGGCAAATCTTCTCCCCTTTAACATTTTGGGAAATACATGTTATTTAATATTTTTGGTGAAGGGGTATTTAAAGAAGGATTACAAGTTTATAATTTAGAAGTAAGACGATAAAGAATCTTTTCTGTCTAAAAATGTGCTTTTATTCTATTTGCTCCAATTTCAATGAATGACGGGGCGTCTAATCAATTATAATAAAAATAATTTCAATAAAACAATAATCTAATTTCATTTGTTTTTGCTTTCTAGGATTCCCAAACGGTAAGAGATGTAGAAATAAAAATATTTAAATTTTTTTTTGTTTGTTTTGCAATATTTTAAAATGAAGAAAACATTTTTTTTCTATCTTTTTTTGCAATAATAAACTTAATTTTTGCAAATTATTTTGGTTTTGCAAACTTTTAAGATTTCAAATAAAAGCTATGATAAAACCATTTATTTCATATTTCCGCTCTAGGTTACAAAAAGATTTTAAGAAGCTTCTCGAGGAAACGGGGTACATAACACCAGGGAAAAAATTAGATGAGGTCAGTGTTACCTAGATTAAAAATAAGATGAAAAATATTCATATTTACCATTATGTACATGTTACGGATCCAGAAATTACCATCTCCGATTTAGCTGAAATTTTAAGCACATTTTATAGTTTCTGAAATTTTTCAATTTTTTCCCAATTTTTGCTGTCCCCCGACATTCGGCTCCAGAGTTCCCTCAAAAATGTTGATAATAAAAAATATTGTTTTTTAAACATGTAGCTCTGTAAAAATTTCGGCCAAATTGGAGATGGTCAATTGTTAAAAGATTCCTTTTGTTTGTAATGACACCTACTCATTTGCTTCATTTGCAAACCAAAACATAATTTCACCTGTAAACCAAAACGGTAATTAGGTTCGAGTCTTGTTTATGGGAAGAGACTGTTTCGAGTCTCTGTCAGAAGACCAGCGTCAGCTGATCTATGATCGACATCAGCAGGAACTAATTCAACGGTAGGAAGACTACTAATGTAAAAAAATCAAGTTTTGAAAAAAATCCTCTATTCTTTTTAATAATATGATTTTTCTTCAAAAATATTCCCATGACCCCCTCAAAATTTCTCATTTAAAAATAATGCATATATTGCCTAAGAAGACATTTATCCGTTAAAGCATTTTTTATTTTTATGATATCTAAAAATGTATGTGTTTAGGTGTAGGAAAAGTTTTCAAGAGCTGTTGTTAGAGAAAGCTGACATTTTTTACCAGTTTAGGTAAAAAGTATTTTTTTCTTTTTTTTAACGATTTTTAATAATGAAAAGATATCTCAGAAGTCGAATTTAAAGAATTTGAGTGGCGGCTTAAATTTGAGACGCTGCTCAAATATGTTTGGTTCCGCTTAAAGTTATAATCAATGTTTCAAGATCTAAGCCGGCGCTCAATTAAAACCGGTTTGTGGCGGATTTGAGACGCGACTCAAATTCATTAATTACTCAATATATGACTTTTAATAGTTCAAAAAACATGAGACATAGCAATTGTTCAATGTTCAGTGGAAACATACCCATTTCACTAGATAATTTGATTTTCATGCTAGTAGTAAAACTATTTGCTTTGTAACTGCGACATCAAATACAATTAATTTTTGTCATCTTCCTATTCCAAACCTTTCTGTTGCTCACTGTAAAAAAGCTAACATTTATAATATAAATTTTTGAAATTTGAAATACTAGCCTTTTACCCAACATGTTTAAGGTAAATCCAGTAACTACTGAGTTTTACTGATTTCTGTATATAGTTTCCAGCATTTTTACATCTATGTTAATGAAGACGACATTAGCTACAATATTGAATATTCTAGATCTAGTCCTGCCGGAACAGTGACACATGATGATATTCTTGATATTACTGAAGCACTTGCTGAAGATGGACGGTAAATCATTAATTAATTAAAAATTAATTAGTATTAATAATGTGTTCCGAAAATAAAGATTTTTAAAGCAAAAAGAAAAAAATCACAATCAATTTAGAAAAATAGACATGAGATCGTTGATAATTGCTATTAATTATGAATTATGTTTTGTAAATATTGAAAAATACAGAAAACACGAAAACCAATATTTTTTCCTTTTCAATTAGTTAGTGAAGAATTTGATGAGTTAATGTAGATTGTTGATTAATAAATTATTATCACGAACAATCCTAGTGACATGTTTCGGAATGTTTGTCGTTAATTTTTTTTTTGTCATTTGATCAATTTTGACTTTTTTTAGATATAAAGCGTTGGACAGAATGGACGCTGACCGAAAACTATTACTCTTTCAGGTTTTTATTTGACACTTTTCCCACTAAAAAGAATTTTTAAGTGACCGGCCCTCCGGCCTACATGCAAAGATGACAGTGTCCAATTAACTCGGTATCCTTGAATGAAACGTAAAGATATTGTCGCTTTTATTGGTTCTAAATTATTCAGTTCAAATAATTCTTATATGTTCTTCTGTAATAGAAATCCGTTTCTACACCACAATTGAAAACAATCAGTTTTCCAACATTGGCACATTGATATATAAGTTATCCTGGATCAGACAAATCTTTTAAGAGTACTGTTGTGAATCGGACAGACGCTATGAATTTGGTCCCAGGATAAGATATTTTTAAATTCAGACTTTTTAAAATTAAATTTTTCTTATTTTAGCATCTTGGATTTGTGCACTGTCCCATTCGTGAACACTGCCCGGCATTCCCGGACTGTACCGACTCATTGGTGGAGAGGATTATCTCAAGGAATCAGCTGTTTATATATTGATTGATGGATTGTATACATTGATTGATTAATTGATTGAAAAGGGTATGAAGAATATATTTAAGCAATCTTATGGAAACCTGATAGTGTTTTAAAGCTTGAAACAAAATGGGTCTGAGTTTACTGCAAAATTGCTGCGTTTTATGTCTTATTAGACTACTTAAATAATATCTTGAGTCTAAGAGTCGTCTTTTTATTCTTATATTTTTCGAGTCACACTGTGTATTTTTACGGTCTCTATAATGTTTTCCGAAGACTGTTCAGAGGTTCATAGTGAAAATAAGAAGTTTTTCCCTATTTGATTCAGTATAGTCATCTTAAATTTGATGTATGGAGGTAGGACATTCCAAGAAGTCTGATAAGACTTGATTTTCAACACTTTTAAATCCTAAAAATATTTCGTTTACATGTGTTTCACAAATTAAAAAGATGTCAAAAAATGTTTGTAAAGATTTGCAGAGAAGTGGTTGGTCAATAATAAGATTGTTGAAACTTTTTTAATTTGAATTGATAACAGTTTATTGATCAGACGAGCAAGTAGACCTGTCAGTTGGGGAACAGACTTAACAAATCTTAATCTTATTCTCTTAGGTAAAATATTTTTTTTTAAGAAATTGCGCTCCCAGAGCGCTTGATGCCTCCCTTTTTTCTTCTGATTTTACCTGCAACAATTTTTATAACGGTGCATTTTAAAAGTTGACATTTCTAATTTATGTTTTTGTTGGTTGATTACCAAATACAATATATTTGACGAGTTTTAGAGGCAACATTTTTAATGCTAACCCTTTATAAACCTTCACAAGCTACTTGAATACTTGGATTGGCCGGTTTTAGGTTTTAGGATAAGTTTTTATTATGAATTTCTTTATCATGCTGTTTTTTCTCAAAATACAGGGTTACTCAAAAAGACTGAGCCTTCAGAGACGACTGTACGGAATTTATTCTGTCTGTATCCTTACATTTCTATATCCTGCAACTTTATTCTTTTTTTGCTAAATCATTAAATAAGTATAAAAGGGACTAAATTTAAGGCAGTAAACTTATTTTAACCTTGATGCAGTCATATCTAGATTAACGTCGTCTTTACAGTCTAATCCTTTATAGGTCACCAAGGAGTATGGAATAGAAGGGAGATAAAACTGACGCGGCCCGCCCTACCATATGATTATAAATGCTTTGCAGATGATACTCCATTTGAAGAAGAAATATTCAGAATAGGTTATTGTATACGCGGTAATTGTACATCAGACAAATATTTCCTATACAAATGAAGTACCGTCTGCAAAGATATATAATCATATGATAGGGCGGGCCGCGTCAGTTATATCTCCCTTATATTCCATACTCCAGTAGGTTGACGAATTACATATTTAGGCGTGGAGGAATTATCCCTAGATATATCCGATCAGATTTTATCCATCTGTCCTCATTCACAATTCAATTACGGAGGCCAGGCGAGTAGTATTAGAATTATATTGTTTAATGTTTATGATAGATTTTTTACTCAAAAACACATATTTGTTTTGCGTAGATTAAACCGTAGTCGTTTAGAAATATTCCTTTCAATTTATAAACTAAATTTGTCTTAATACTTTTTTAATATTTCCATTTGTTAGCTTTCTTGTTATTAAAAAATCCTAAGATTGAAGTACAGAATTTGTCTTTCGGTGTGAAGTTTTTTTTCTTCATATGGGATCATATTGTATACATTTTGGAAGTAGTTTTATCAGATCTTACCCCTTCAAATTAAACACTTTTTTTCCTTTTTCGAATATTTACACGCTGCATCCTGAGGTCGATCTGGAGGTTTCATATCGGGTTCCATTTCAGATCTATTCTTTATGTTATTGAATTTTTTATTTATTTATTTCAGCCTCGGACTTACACGCCTCACATTAGATTGTTACAAGAACAATATTTTTTCTTCTATTTTCAAGATAATATTATACAACATAAAAGCCCCAGGGAGAACTAAATCTTCCTCTAAGACCTGAGACCAAATTTAATGAATTTAAGAGGTTCGTAAACTACCAACCACCGCGGTTCAAATCCTGAATTAACGATTCAAATCCTCGTGAATTTTTATCTTTGAATCGGTGATTCAAGATTGAACAGGCGGTAGGTAGTTAAGCTACCTTGCTCAAATCCATTTAATTGGGTCTTTGGTATGTAATGTATGTTATGTATGAGCCAAACCAGGTTTTGACAAGGTTTTAATTTAGATATTTGATCTCGAGCTCAGACGAATCTCAGGAGACGTTTCTCTTCAACAGAATGCGTTCAAAACAAAGAAATTTAATCCTCAAGGTCAGACACCTTTCTTCTTATAAGATTTGGTAGATTTTCTGATTTCATTGGTAGATTTTCGACATATATAGATTCTTTAAAAGGCAAATTTGTGACCGTAAACATTAAACAAATCTACTTTTTTAAAGTTTAATGATCACTAAGGATTGCATACAAAAAAAGAGTTTGCAAATAAAAAGTTTTTAAAACTTGCTTTTTTTGTGTTTGTTTGCTAATAAATGTATTAATGCAGGTTGTTTTTGTGTTTACTCAGACTCCCCCTCATTAGAATATATTAGGTAAGTAATTATAAGTAATTATTCATAATTTAAAGATAATTATTTGTAATAAGTCAGATGTTGGATGTTAAATTCAGAGTTAAAAAAATGTTGGAAAAGGATGGGGGGGTTGTTAAAAAAAGATCCACATTTTTATGACAAGTTTATGTTAAGGGGATTTACTTAAATTCACTTTTTTATTCACTCACTTTTAATGTTTGTTTTAGAGCAAGTTTACAGAAAGAGCTTTTATCAAATCTTGAACAGCAAGATCCACTTCCTTTCCAGGTAGTCCTTTCTTAACCCTTAAAGAGACTCTAGCGTTTTTTTCAAGAGACTCTCCATACCAAAATGGCAATGCCCGATTCACAACCCTTAAAAACATAATTTAGTAAAGCATTAATTATCTATCATTGATTGATTATTTTGAAAGCTGACTTGCGCATTTTTATCATTGGAAAACATTTAAGTATTAAGCACTTTTAAGTCGAGAAAAACGAAAAAATCTTATACGTTATTGATGTGATAAAGGTTTAAAGGGTAAAGCCATGTTCACATGAAAGGTACATTAAAATTTCGCTTACAGCTCCTTGAAATGCCCGGCATTGCGTTGCCCGTAGAATTACAAGAATCGTCCAACTCTGGACAGAAAATATATTCTGTTTTAGGGTTTTTTTTTGTAGAATATATTTTTTGTTACAACTCTTTTGTTAAGGGTTGGCCGCCGCCGGTCATTTTAGGTAGCGTACGCACCAGGGGGGGGGGCTTAGCACTTGTTGGGGCCTAGAAAAACATCCCCCGTGGAAACCATATTTATGCCTCTGATACAATCTGTAGAAATATATATTCAGGTGCTCTGCTTTCTATTTAAAAAAGATGATAAGGTGTTTTAGAAAGATAATTAAAATATTACGTGTTTAACAATCTCATGAAAACTTAAGAGTCAAACGCCTTTTTTAGGTCTAAACTACCGTACTGCGTAACATATTGTAAATGGAACTCTTTCAAAAGGTTTTGACTATTTGAATATTTTTATTCAACTTTCAATAAGCAACCACAATTTACTATGCGGTTAGGACCCGCATAACCAGAGTAGGTTGTTTTGATTGGTTGGCCCTAAGTTAGTTAACAATATCAGAATTTTAAAAGTGCTATAAGTTATCAGAATCTGTAAAAATCTCATTTGTCTTGATTTTTTAAATCTAGCTCTTAGCTGAGCTAAACGCTAACTATACTGTTATGCAAAATGTTGGCGCTGGGTCCGAACTTAATGAATTTAAGCCAAGTTATTGAACTACCCTTCGTCGGTTCAGTAGTGATGCAGTGTAGTTATTATCTACAAGACATGGACAAATCTCAAATCACCTATCCAAGAGATGGAGTTGAACTGTCTCTAGACCTGATTCAATTTTATTAAAACTGGTCCCTGGCAGAAGATAAAACCCAATTGTTCTTAAAATTGCTGTCTTATATTTTCTGTCAGAGTTAACATTTACCACAGTATAATAAAGCAAATTTGTAATCTGAACCGATTTGAAACATGTTGTAACTTCTTGATCTTTTTTGTATATAATGAAGACCTCTTAAGAAGAATATACCTCTTAATTTTGAAAGGTTGAAAACGACGTCTAATACTATGTGTTCTTCTGTTTAGGGATTATCTATGTTAATACTGTTTGAAGCAGATCCAAATATTCCTCAACAAGAACTCAATCTTCTTCAAATAGAAGGTGACTTTTTTGCAATATAAGAATTACATGATTTAAAAGCTTGGAGCTCCGGTATTTAAATGCTTTACCCAGCAAACCATTGTACGTAGGACAAACGTCGGAAATACGTCAGTGAATGGTATTTTTATCCCAGAAGTGTAATTATAAAAGAAAATTAAAATTCTTTTATTATTTAATATAAACAAACTGGAATTATAAAAAAGTAAAATATTTATAATTATATATGTATATTAAATAATAATGATTTAGGACAAAATCTGGCAGATTCCTTGCACTGTCCTTTCCTTGAGTTCTGCCCTGGAGAGATGGAAACGATATCTGATTGTCTAAGGTTAGTTGCATCATTTAATTTTTTAATAATGTTAGTGACTTTTACATGCAACAGTTTGAAAATATTGAGGTTTTTTATTCCTACATCTGAAATCCAACTCAGTTCAAACTGAGCTATCTAATTAAAACTTAAATTGATGGGAGCTCAAGTCTGATCACTAACGGAATAAGAGTGGACTGCTGAAATATTTGAAAAATTACTATCATTGTTATAATTAATCACTAAATTTTATATCTTTTGAGAATGAAAAAGGTACCAAGCCCTTTTTTTATTCCCCCAGCTTCAAAAATTCTACGATTATCCTCATTATTATTTTGTTGCACGTTAACATTGAATTTTGATACCTTTTATGAGAAATCTTTCAAACCAATGCCATTTCTAGTGATTACTAAGTAAAGTTACATCAAGCTTTAAGTCTAAAAGTTGGAAACTCTTAAAAATCTGATATGGTTTGTTTGTAGAACACTGGTGGAGAGTTCTAGACAGAAATCTGGAGTCCTTAATGTTTCACCACCTAGTGACACCCTTCCCAAACCTGAAATTAGGTAAATATGACCTCCTAGTGACACCCTTCCTAAACCTGAAATTAGGTAAATATGACCTCCTAGTGACACACTTCCTAAAACTTCTTTGAAACAGATGTGGGGTGGGGTGAAGAGTGTGTGACACCAGTTCTCATTAGATCACTGAAGTTAAGCACACTTGTCCATTGCCAGTAACTGGATTGGTGTCCAGACTGGTGTTCACGGGTTCGATTCCCGTACTCCACACAAACCTGTGGTTTCAAAAACATCTGAAGCCGGCATCTGGGACCGACACGGGAACTCTTGGCTGCTGGGTTTCCCCTCTGGCCCGTTGCGCCCCTCATTAAGCAACCTGATCACCACCTGACGGAGAAGGACATGGGGAGCGTCACCAACTCTCGCAGCGAAAGGGTGCGTGCTTTTTACTCAACAAGAAAGAAGCTTTAAGTGGATTGATCCAAGGGAATGATGATGAAGAGAGGAAGGGTGGACAAGCAGGGAGAGCCTATGGTTGCCAGCTATAGGTACCTGGGGTTATCCAATCCTGGCTTAAAAATGATAGGGAGCAATGTGTGTGATGTTTCCTGTCTGTACGGCACCCAGGCCTCATTCCAGTATATCAGAAGAATTCCTGCACTCTATTATTCTCCGGCCTTTTATTCTCCGTCAAAAAAATATCTTTTAAAAGATGTGCCAGTGACTCTCATCCACTCTTACTCAATGTGGTCCAGTGTGATGGAAGCATGATTTTCATGGAATCATAGTTAACTAAATATTATTTATTTATGATATATTCTAACCTCTTATATGACCTATTCTAACCTCTTGTATGACCTATTCTAATACTCTATATGCCACAAGAGTGTTTAACTATAGGTAATTAAATACCACAAGTCACAACCAATTCTAAAAATGTTGTGTATTGTAGAGTGATTATGTGCCTGTTGTGTGGAGACCCATTTAACCTGGAGATAGAGAAGGTTCTAGGACCTTTACTTGGCAGTAAAACATGTACACAAACAGGTACTTAGGTCAACCCAAGGATCAATATCTAAGCCAATGATTGAAGTTTAAAACAAGGATCAAAGATCAACCCAAGTACTTCAGCTCAAAGATCAGTTCCGAAGTTACATTTCAGCATGTATTTAAATAGGTTCTACTAAGTATTAAAGGTCCAAACAAGGATTAAAGGTCAACCCGAGGTTCAAAGGTCATCATTAGGAATAAAATTAACACAAGGATTAATGGTTAAAACAAAGATTAAAAAGGATTAAAGGTCAAAACAAGGATTACAAATCAAAACAAGGGTGAAAGGTTAATGGTCAGCATTAAACGTCAATCCAAAGATTAAAGGTAAATCCAAGGATTAAAGGTCAATCCAAGGCTTAAAGGTCAATTTAAGGCTGAAAGGTCAATCCAAGGATTAAAGGTCAATCTAAGGATCAAAGGTCAATTCAAGGATTAAAAGTAAACCCAGGAATAAGAGGTTAGCTTTATCTAGTATATTTCCTTTTTTTAATTAATTCTGTGTTTGTTTTAAATGCCTTAAACAGAATTATCAAGTCACGTAAACCAGAATTGTATTAATGGTTTACAGAAATAAAGAATCTTTGAGAAAAAATGCACTCAGGAGTACGGTGTGTGGTTGTGGAGCTAGAAATACAAGGAACCCGGAGAACAGTAGAGGTTATCCTTACTTCATACCATTCTGCCACAGACTTCAGGAATATTATCAATCGATCAGTCAATACATTAACAGATGTTCCATTGTTTTGGCAGAACCAGATTATTACTTAACTCTTAAGATTTAAAGGGACTGAAAGCATAATTTTAAGTGACTCTCCATGCCAAGATGGCAATTCCCGTAAAACTTTAACCTTATAAAAAATGTGAAAGATAATGTAATTTTTTCCACTATACATGCAAAACATAAACATGGAAATCTGATTCATACTTTAAGAGGGATCCGTTTTAAATGCAAGGCCACTTGAAATTGCGTTGTACAGTCCCTTTAATTGATTGATTGATTTATTAGGGATGATCTTGTTCATGGTTTTATCCTTGTCTATTCAACACTACGTAAGGCATCCTTGGCGACACTCAGGTATATTAAAGGGATTGTTCACATATTTGAAAATACTTCTTCCGTCCTAATTCCAAAAATAATAACTATGAGGAGGGGGGGGGGGGGCACTGCTTTGTAACATAACTCTATTTTTTTGTAATAGTTTTTTCCTAAACAATATCTGGGACTATAACAACTAAAATGATATTGGGCGTTTTTTATGATTTGTACAGGGTTATCCGCATTAGGTAAGACTTCAAAGTCGACTGTACAAAACTCATTCAGCTTTTTTTCGATTTTTTTGCAACTCTTAGCTAGATTCTTTCTTTGTCAAATCTTTTATTTTATCATTAGACTTTACTTCAGACAGAAGACAACAATTCAACAAATAGTTTTGGGTCGTTATTACAGTCTCCTTTTGTTTAGATTACCCTGTATTTATTGTATTATAGTGCTTTCTCAATGAATATCCCGGAACTGCCAATACAAGTTGTCGCTGTCTCGGAATCCAACCTAGTCGACAATAAGGACATAAATCAGGCCTTGAACATTCAGGTAGGAAATATTAGATCAGAGCAGGGATCTTTTGAATGGTCGATATCGGGATTAATGCTTGATCCACTCTTTTTCTTAATCATGAGATATACTTGTTCTCCTCTTGTTATTAATCTCCAGATTAATTAACCTATCGGGATTAAGGATATCCCATTCAAAGTTTTCAGCTTTGTTGTTACATTAGATTTCTAAAACCTATTGATAAAGCTATAAAATGATATTTATATCCAATATTAAATGGAAATCAGGGTTTAATCCTCCGTACAAAAATTCCCTTAACAAATAAAATTGTTACAATACTATTGTTCACCAACTTTTAAAGAATTGTGTGAAATAAGTTAAAAACTGATAAATCGGCCCAAATTCAAATTTTCCTATCCCTTTAGTAAGCTAATAGTGTAAACCTTTTATATTTCAAAATCTTATCTAGCAGAATTCTTAGTTTAAAGCATCGAGGTCTTCAAGGGAAGAATTATTTATAAGTATAGTTTGGGTCGAGTAATCAGTTTCTTCAGTATATTTTATTCTTTTCAATAAACAAATATTTCAGTTCATCTAATGTTTGACCAGTGCGTAGGATCCAACAGCTAAATATCGATAAAAAAAACTTTTTGCTCTCCAACACAAATCTCAACTTTTAAAAATGAGAGACAAAAAATTTCGATTTTTTTTTGTTAAAAAATCATTAATTCTTAAAGAAATGTTCATGCCTTGATCCGGATTCGGATCAATTTTTTTCAATGCAGATCTAGAATTCGGATCTGGATCCGCATCAAAATCAAATGGATCCTAAATACTTTGTTTTTCTTATGTCATCTAAGTCTAAAGCTGTTACAATATGAATATATGTTTTCTTGTTCTAGGGCAGTGTTTTAGCCGGTCAACTTAATGCCCACTTTGCCCGGGCAAACCTTAACCAGTCACAGAAGGGGCTCTACCAACCTTTCTTCCAGGTAGGGAGTCCAATCATTCTTGAGAAAAATGATAATTTTAACTTTTTACTAATCAGACAATCATAGTTTGGGAGGAAACTCAACTAATAACCAAGGGTGTTTAATTTTTAATGAAACCAAGGATGTAAGGCAAGGAAAGTTATTTCAGAAGTGTTCACATCTTTTGTACTGCAGTGTACTGTCTCTGGGCGCTAATGTAAACACAAGACGGATGTCGAAGCCTGACATGGGATCCATCTTTCACATTAAAAAATCAATGAAATATTCTGGTCATAGGAAACTATTATGTGAATTATCAAAAGTATCAAAATTTAATGCTTTTAACCTCCTCGGATACTAAACGACACTGATGCATCTATTCTTGTTTACCAATTCCGCCCAGAGAGAACTGGTTTCAATATGTACGCAGAGTATATGCGACAGCAATTAACTTTCCTTGCATTACAATCTGGAATGAAACAGTGATACTCCCTTTAACAATGATGATACTATTTAGGAGGTGCTAGAGAAGAAGGGAGAAATAGAAAAAGCATTTTCAATGGACGAACGACTCTCAGGTCGACTTGACGATAGCGGTGAGGGTACGTTAGGTAAGTTTTACTTTACATTATATTTTAGTATAAGAACACACTCAAACATACAATCAACCTTACTGAGTGTATAAAAAATACTCAGAACTGTCCCAGTCAACAAAAGAAAAAGAAATAAGAGAAGAAATTATGACTTGAAGAATAATAAAATTAGAATTATTAACTATATCCAAATTATAAAATTAAAAATTTTTTAAAAATATTGTACAGTACAGTACAGGATACATTTCAATGTTCATATTAATATGTAAATATAGGGTGGCCAAAATGTACGGATTGTACGGATTTTTTATTTTGTAACCCTAAAATTGTACGGAACGTACGGATTTTTATCCTGGAAATACACCGTTTTTTTAATTTTCACTCATTTCAGCAAATTCTTCATGAAAATTACAAAAAAAAATTCTCGTCAAAATGAAGTTAGTTTAACTTATTTTATACATTCTAAATAATATTAGGTTGATTAATGTTTCAATTGACAATAAAAATTCATTCATAATTTTCGAGATCCCAGAAGTGTTTATTTGAGAATATGCTCCAGAAGTGTTCATTTGAGAATATGTTTATCTATCTGTCTATCTGTCTAGCTATCAGTTTATCTATCTGTCTAGCTATCTGTCTAGCTATCTGTTTAGTTATATGTCTAGCTATATGTCTAGCTATCTGTCTAGCTATCTGTCTATCCATCTGTATATCTATCTGCATGTCAGTTTATCTATCTTTTTATTTATCTGTTTATATATCCTATCTGTCTCTCTGTTTATCTATATGTGTATGTGTCTATCTGTTTCTCTGTCTATTTATCTGTCTATCTATCTATCTATCTGTCTCTTTATCAGATCTGAGAACATCCTCTCAAGTTTCTTCCGTTTATCTGTAAATCTTTTCATTTTTAATTTTATATTAACTTTCTTTTAATTGAGTGTGCAACCCCTGTACCACGCTAATTTTAATTATATTAGATCCTAAATCTACACTCCACTCTTTCTAATTATAACTTAATCGTTTGTTTGTTAAATGGCCTAATTCACACCGATCTAAACAGAATCAATTTAGTTCTCTGGTTCTCTGGTTCTCTGGTTCTCTGGTTATCTGGTTCTCTGGTTTTCTGGTTCTCTACTTCTATAGTTCTATAGTTCTCTAGTTTTCTAGTTCTCTAGTTTTCTAGTTCTCTAGTTCTCTATTATCTAGTTCTCTAGTTCTCTGGTTCTCTGGTTTTCTAATTCTCTGGTTCTTTAGTTCTCTAGTTCTCTAGTTCTCTGGTTCTCTGGTTCTCTAGTTCTCTGGTTCTCTAGTTCTCTGGTTCTCTAGTTCTCTGGTTCTCTAGTTCTCTGGTTCTCTAGTTCTCTGGTTCTCTAGTTCTTTGGTTCTCTTGTTCTCTGGTTCTCTGGTTCTCAAGTTCTCTAGTTCTCTGGTTCTCTAGTTTTCTAGTTTTCTAGTTCTCTGGTTCTCTGGTTCTCTGGTTCTCTTGTTCTCTGGTTCTCTTTTTCTCTATTATTTAGTTCTCTAGTTCTCTAGTTTTCTAGTTTTCTAGTTTTCTAGATTTCTAGTTTTCTAGGTTTCTAGTTTTCTAGTTTTCTAGTTCTCTGGTACTCTGGTTCTCTAGTTCTCTAGTTCTCTATTATCTAGTTCCCTAGTTCTCTAGTTCTCTGGTTCTCTAGTTCTCTGGTTCTCTAGTTCTCTGGTTCTCTTGTTCTCTGGTTCTCTGGTTCTCTAGTACTCTAGTTCTCTAATTTTCTGGTTCTCCAGTTTTCTAGTTTTCTAGTTCTCTGGTTCTCTGGTTCTCTGGTTCTCTGGTTTTCTTGTTCTCTGGTTCTCAGGTTCTCTGGTTTTCTAGTTCTCTAGTTCTCTAGTTCTATAGTTCTCTAGTTCTCTAGCTCTCTAGTTCTCTAGTTCTCTAGTTCTCTAGTTCTCTAGTTCTCTAGTTCTCTAGTTCTCTAGTTCTCTAGTCCTCTAGTCCTCTAGTTCTCTAGGTCTCTAGATCTCTAGTTCTCTAGTTCTCTAGTTCTAAGTTCTCTTGTTCTCTTTTTCTCTTGTTCTCTTGTTCTAAAGTTCTCTAGTTCTCCAGCTCTCTAGTTTTTAAAAGTAATGTTTAAGTTTTATATCTTTGTAACCTTATGTGGTAGACTTTTGTTATTATAAGCTGTTAATTCTGCCAGATTAATTAGGCTTCGTTTCAAAAACCAAAGGTTTTCAGGTTGCAAAGATAAATGGATGGTTTTTTTTTTCTTAAATGTACGGATTGCAGGGATTTTTTTCGAAAATTGTACTGATTGTACGGATTTTTAAAAAAGTGTACGGATTTTTAAAAAATGTATGGATTTTACGGATTTTTTTTTCGAAAATTGTACGGATTGTACGGATTTTTTTTCGAAAATTGTACGGATTGTACGGATTTCTTCTAAAAATGTACGGATTTTTGTACGGATTTTTTCAAAAAAGTTTTGGCCACCCTGTAAATAGTAATATTACAGTTGATGTTGCTATTTTTTCTATTATTGTCATTTACATTATCATCATTATCATCCTTTTCAACGTTTTCATCATTATCATCATTTTCTTCAATTTCAGCATTTTCATAATCATCATAATCATAATAATTATCATTATCAATGTCATCATTATTATTTTAGAACGTCCACCCAGACGAAACCCCATCCCACCTCCACGAGTAGACAGCTACAATGTTAAAGGAAATCTAAAATTCATTAAAATTTAGCTTTTTCTTTATCAGCTCACTGAAATATATTTGGTTAATTTCTAACAGTTACCAAAATTAAAGAATTTTGGTGTATAGGCCCGGGCAGTTTAAACAGTAGATCCGGCTCCGGAAGATCCGGTTCCGGTAGATCCGGATCCGGATCTGAGATTTATGAACGTCTCCCTGACTCAGGGTCCCATGGTGATCTTGTGAGTGGTAGTGAAGATAGTGATATTTACAGCCAAATGGATAGTTTAGATAGACAGGTTAGTGGATTAATGGAATTTAAAGGGACTGTTAACGTAATTTTGATTGTTCCTCCATGGACAAAATATAGCAATTCAAAACGGTACCATGAAAATCTTTATCTAATCAGTAATGTTGAGGTTATTGTCGTTTTCCTAGCTTGAAGTGTCTTAACTAATTTTAGAATTCCTAATGTTATTACGAGTAGAAATTTGCAACCACAATTTAAAATAATTAGTTTTAAAATTATAAATCTATTTGACCAGATAAAGCTTTTAAGGGTACCATGGTAAATCGGACACATCCATCTTTACATGAAGGGTCTGTTGAAATCAAGTTAAGAGTCCCTTTAAAAAAATTCAAATAGCATTTTATTTTGGGCTATTCAGTGAATTTTTTATAAATCTTAAATGAAGACGATATTTAAATTTGCCCTGACAGTTTTGATTTCTTCACTTGGTATTAGTTGTTCTCAATCTTTTAATTTTTAAAGCACGAACGGATTCTATAAAAAAAATTAGTTTGCAACTAAATGCTTAATTAAAATGGACTTTTTATATTCGTTTCTTACAACCTTCTTTAAGTGTATGAAACTTAAAACATTAACATTCCAATTATTGTAAGTCGTCTTCTTTCTTTCTTTTAATTTGAAAATATCTTAAAGGATTCAATAATTATAATCATAATAAGGCGAAACTTTATAACTTTAAGGAAGAATGAAAACCTGAACCATTTCACCAGTTCTCTGGTTACCACTGTTTTCATACTAAGCAGTAACAATAACACTAGCAGACTCTTCTCGAGAATTTTAACAGCAATTTCTGTTTTTTTTCCGCCTAAATTTTGAGAAAAATTAATTTTAGGGTGGAGGAGGGGGGCACAAGCATAGAAGTAGTAAACAGAACGGTAAACACGGGGCAGGAGGCAAACCTCACAAATCCAGGAGACAACACGGTAGGTCTCGTTTATTCTGATAGGGATATATATATTTTCTAACAGGGATATATATTTTCAAACAGGGATATATATTTATTCTGACAGGGATATATATTTATTCTAACAGGGATATATATATTTTTTAACAGGGAAATATATTTTCTAACAGGGATATATATTTATTCTGACAGGGATATATATTTATTCTAACAGGTATATATATATTTTCTAACAGGGATATATATTTTCTAACAGGGATATATATTTATTCTGACAGGGATATTTCAGAGGAAAAATAAAATTTAAAGAATGTGTATTGTCACTGAAAGACACTATATATGCCTCAATATCAATCCTATTTTATTTAACGTATCAACTGTCCGTTTCTAAAATATTCTTTACTAACAAGGTTATAAGAAAAGTGCATGCAAAGGGTGTTATTTTTACTGACGTCCTTTTGGAAGATTATTTTTAAGTTTATTCGTGAACACTTCCTTTAATAATGTTAATATTGTACTAACCCTCCTCCATTGGTGTAGGCTCCGCCCCTCCTGAATGTTCTCCGCCCCCTATACCAAGTCTAGCAGGACGCCCCTCCTTCACTTCCTCCTCCCCTTCCCCCCAGCTAGGACGGGAACGCCCTAACCCGTTCTCCCGGCCCATGAAGTCCTCTACCTTCAATGCCTCTTTGCCCGGGGTGCATGGTATATTCAAGGCGGATTCAATGCCGCTAGAAATGGTGAAGGGGAAGGGAATGGAACATAATAATTTTTTTCAAGGTAATCTTAGTCTTGCAGTATTGTTCAGATACACCACACTGTTAAAAAAAAATCTAACATTTTGTACAAAACATCGAAGTTTTTCCCAATCGTGTACATTTTGTTCCAAATCACGAGCAGATTATTATTCGAAAATGTTTGAAGTAATCCTAATATTCTAATGTTTTAATAGTAATTAAGAAGCTCCATATCTTTGCTTATATTATAAGTAAACTTCATTTTCTGGAAGGAATATAGGCAGTTTGAGTTTGTATTCATTTCGCCCAGAAACTGCAGTACTCTTGTTTGTATACAAACACACAGATGGTGATTTCTGGTGTTAATCTATCTTAGTCTTTTGATTAACAGCAAACTCTAATAAAAAACCTAACATTTTGTCCGTTATATCAAACTCACGGAGAGTAAGAACAACTTTGTTCGAAATCCCGATTATGATGATACAAACTTTAAAATATCCCTAGCACTCTGTTAGATTGTTTTCTTACAGGACAAAACACACACTAACATCTTTTGTTCAGACTGTTTTTTTTGTTTTGTTTTGTGGTAATGCATTTAACTTTACTTTCTTCTTTTGCTTTCATTTTTTTTTTCTGAGCTGGGAACTTTTATAATGTAGATATTGAGATCAAATCTTGATCTATCTTGATCTAAATCTTTTGTTAATCTGCGGATTAATTGAATCTTTTTTCGATATCCTGCATGGTAATCATACCTAGTCAAGGATTGAAGTTAACTTTGACTAGGGGGAATAACTGAAATAAAGAGATTTAGCATTGATCCTCAAATTAAAAGTTCCCACAATGGAAATCGTAATCAATCCAACACAAAAGTTCCCAGCTCTGGTTTCCTTTGTCTTGTTTACGTTTTTGTTATTTATAAAGGGTAAGATAATAATTTTTGGTCTTATTATTTTAAACATATTAAATATTTTTATTTATGAGCATTTCAATCCTTAATACATCATTCACACATAGTTTAGAAACTGGTACATCTACATCATAAGCAGGGTTGTTCATTCGGAAAGTGTATCAGCAGAAATAACTCTTTTTTATCCATTGTAATGTAATACTAAAAACAAACTTTGTGTTATCCATTGATTATAAACCAGAATTGATTTTTATTATATCCATTGAAAAGTAATAACTCCTATTTAAATGGAAAACAAAATAACTACATTTTTTCGATTTTGCACTTGCAGTTTGTTAAATATCCTTTGAGATTAAACATCTGCAAATAAGCGTATTTAATCTGTAGTATCCGGTTCAATTTAGCATCTAAATGAAGTTTATAATGATGTCATAGAGAACATAAAGTTGGCAGATCGTACTTAAAGATCTTAGAGGGTACATTAAGTTTTAAGACGGTACATAAAGCTGTCATACGGTACACGAAACTAAATCAATGATAAAGTCTGTATTGACCGGGAAGATATAATGTAATCACTAGGGATATAAAATATATAGCAGGATCTGATGAATATCTTGATATGGGTGGCTCCTGTTCACCACCGGAACCTGCTCCTCCAGATCGCACCATGAATCAGGCATTGAGATCACCAAACCAAATATTAACCACGTGGCATTTTCTTAAAATGTTGGTAAATTCAAACTGAAATAAGTGAAATAGGAAGTGATTTTTTTTGTACCTTGTCGAACTTCTTTCAAGTTTTCGCAAATAAAAACTTTTAACTCAAAAATTAATTATTTTTTTTCTGAACATTTTTTGATTTGATGTTCTCTCTCAGTCCCGAGGCGGTAGACCCGAACAGCTGCAGTACAGAAGACTTGTTAAGGAGAGAAGCAAATTATTTTATACAAATCTAAGATACAGGGGTACCCACAAAGACTGAGACTTACTTAATTTGAAATATAATGATCTGCAGTCAATAAGTAGAATTTTTAATGATATTTTTAATGATTTTTCAATGAAAGAAAAAAGTTTAAAGTTACTGGAAACCATGAATACGAGAAGAAAAATACTTGATAAATTCCAAAACAGTCGTTTTTGAAATCTCATTCTTTAGTTAGTAACCCTGTCCTTGACATTGGTTAAATAAAAAGATATTTTTGTCTTATTTAATCACTGTAAGAATGCAGATGATTAAAAAATGTCGTAGTTGCTAAAGTTATAATATAATCTAAAAACCAAAGAGACTTGACATGGATTCAATGGATTCTCCCCCCCCCCCCTCAGAGTCTTATACAGATTTTTTTTTAAAGGGGAGGAAAATTGAAAAATTCAAGGGGGTTGCCCTTCAACCCTCCCCCCCACACACATGAATACGCTCTTGCTCCCCTTCATGAAATAAATACTGTTGACCTCTGATAGGCTTCCACAATGCCTGGAGGATCCCACACCTCTCTCGAGGACATATCATGTATGTTTAGTCAGCATTGGGTTAATATTCTTAAATTCTTAACCCATTCGTGCCAAAGTCGTTCTAGATTTTTAAAATGGTTATTGAGTTTGTTGGACTTAAGCAACAATTGAAGTTTTTTTATTAGTACCAGATTTAAGCATCAGAGACAACGGAGGAATTTGTGAGAATTTTAGCACTTTAAAGTAAAAACACTAAAGATAATTAGTTAAAGACTAAAGCGGACACACCACTCTTTAAATGGAGGTTCACTCGTATTTACTGTAGAAGTCTCTTTAAAGTCTATCCTGTTCGTTTCAATGCCCAAGATGTTTTCGTGAAAAAACTCTTTTAGTTGAAAATTTGCTAAACTTTTATCAATTTAAAGAACAGTTTATAGGTGAAAACAATCTAATTGTCACTAATGGGTTAAGACATGTTTGATAGATTTTATAAAGTTAGTTGTAGTGAATTTTTTACATGTACATAATTATTTTACCCCCAGGAAGGTACGGTACGGTACGGTATGGTACGGTACGGTACGGTACGCTAATTTATTGTACTGTATTCTAAATTGCGTGCCTATTGTTAGAATTAAACTTTTCTCCTATCTATAGAGTATCCATACTCTATAGCTAGTTCATCTACTTTTCTATACACTAATTCCTCATCAAAACAAAAGTTTAATGATTGAAAAGCTTCATCAAACATTTGGATTCGGTAGCATAAAAATTAATGTACAAAAATTTAAATTTTATATAATTTTTCCCATTGTATATTTTTAAATTTTATATTTTATATTTGAACTTCTTGTAGAAACATAAAATTGTAAATTACATTTATTTGATCATTCTAAAGGTAAATATTTGTAAGATCAAATATTTTCTCCTAGAGCTTATTTGCATTGCCTAGGTTGGGCAGACGACTCCCAGTTGCCAAACAAGAGACCAGATTCTGCTGATGCATGGCAGACCGGATTCGGAGGCGGAGCTTATACTACAGGAAGACGGGGACGGAGTAGAGCCCCACTACCAGCACTACCCCCTGGAAAAATTAACCTATCTGACTATAATCATGTTTCAGCAGCTCTTGGCAGACTTCAGGTTTGTTTTTTTGTCCGTAAGATTTCATGTAGTCAATGTAAGTTAATTAGTCAATTGGCAAGTGCCATGGGATTTTACCAAATGTACAATGTTCCAAGTGGCAGTTTCTCAAATGTCAAAATTGATTTATTATTGGACGGTACTGTCACCCATGTGCAAAATTGATTTATTATTGGACGGTACTGTCACCCATGTGCAAAATTGATTTATTATTGGACGGTACTGTCACCCATGTGCAAAGTCAGTTGCTGTAAGTATAGGACATGCAATGGTGGCCAATCACTGTTGTTAAATATCCTGAAATAATGCTATTATTATTAAGCTGTTCAAGTGGGAAGTTGCTGCTTGGTAATTTGACACTCAGTGGAGTGCCTAACAGAAAACTATTACTATTATCAAAGGCCACTGGTCAAAACGAGAATCTATTTTTAGTCTACTAGAAATTCAAGGCGCTTCGCGCCCTTCTTTCTAGGCTTTTAGGGCGCTTCGCACCCATCTTCTATTTAAATTGTGAACAGGTTCTTTTTGTTTACATATTAAAACAAAGAAAAAAATTTTGCGGATTTTCAAGAATTTAATTTTTTTTACAAAATTATAAACCTTTAAAACACATTTTTTTAAAATTTTAATCATTCATAAACCTTCCCTGTGGTCACGTGATGTCCCACAAAAAATTTGGGCCCGATCGGTTAAACCTTCCCTGGGGTCCCTAGATGTCCCACAAAAAATTTGGGCCCAATCGGTTCAGCCGTTTTGACGTTTATTGGATACAAACAGACAAACAAACAAACACCCAAACAGACAAGCCAAATTTATATATAGATTTACTAGTAAAGTTTCTTAATAGTATCAAAGCTCTGAAAATTATTGCTATGTTCTAGAAAACAGTATTATTAAATTTTAGGTGAAGCCTCGAAGTGCTCCCCTGGCAGCAGTTGAGGATTTGGACCGAGACCATGAAGGAGGGTATGCAGTACCTAGAGACACTGTTACACCGGGTACCAAGGTAAAGAATCTCGACCAGGGAAGGGTATGCAGTACCTAGAGACACTGTTACACCGGGTACCATGGGTATAGAATCTGGACCAGGTCAGGGAGTGCAGTACCTAGAGACACTGTTACACCGGGTACCAAGGTAAAGAATCTGGACCAGGGCAGGGTATGCAGTACCTAGAGACACTGTTACACCGGGTATCAAGGTAAAGAATTTGGACCAGGGCAGGGTATGCAGTACCTAGAGACACTGTTACACTGGGTACCAAGGTAAAGTATCTGTACAAGGGAAGGGTATGCAGTACCTAGAGACACTGTTACACCGGGTACCAAGGTAAAGTATCTGTACCAGGGAAGGGTATGCAGTACCTAGAGACACTGTTACACCGGGTACCAAGGTAAAGTATCTGTACCAGGGAAGGGTATGCAGTACCAAGAGACACTGTTACACCGGGTACCAAGGTAAAGTATCTGGACCAGGGAAGGGTATGCAGTACCTAGAGACACTGTTACACTGGGTACCAAGGTATAGAATCTGGACCAGGGCAGGTTATGCAGTACCTATAGACACTGTTACACCGTGTACCAAGGTATAGAATCTGGACCAGGGCAGGGTATGCAGTACCTAGAGACACTGTTACACCAGGTACCAAGGTAAAGAATCTGGACCATGAAGGAGGGTATGCAGTACCTAGAGACACTGTTACACCGGGTATAAAGGTAAAGAATCTGAACCATGAGGGAGGGTACGCAGTACCTAGAGACACTGTTACACCGGGTATCAAGGTAAGAAAAATTTTCGAGGTTAGAACTTGTGTTAATTCTGTCCTAAATCACCAGTTGGTCTGACCAATTGAGTGAAATCCTATTGGTAATCCTTAACGGTCTAAGGAATTCAGCAATGAAAGCTTTTTTAGTGTTTATTTTTCATCTACTGAATATTGTTTTAACTGAAACTGACAAATTTCTTAAAAGCAAATGTATTTTGAACTTACCTAATTTAATTTAGAGCGAATATTCTCATCCTGTTCTGGAACCTGCAAGATCTAAACCCAGATCTAAGAACAGAGAGAGGAGAGAACGTCAAGCAAAGCTAGGTAATTCATATTTGTTGATCACAACGGCCTAAAATAGTGGAACAAAATAGAAAAGGGGAAAGGTTTATAGAACATATCAAAAGATTAATACTGGGCTTTTCAAATAATGTTACCAAAACTCAAATGCCTTTTTGAGGTCCTAAAACAAAAACTTGGTAATATCTGTAAAAAGAAATGACGAGGAAATCTTATATTTAATATGGAAGATAGGATACATCATATATCCTACTTTCAAAACCTCAGATGGCTAGTTTTTTATAGCCTTTGGACTTTGTTGTGGGGATTGGAAAATAGCTTTTGTTTTTGATTAAATATTTAAATAATTTAGAAATATCAGACTCTGAGAGTGAACTTAGTAGTGATGAAAGACATGCAAAAAAGCCAACGGCCGGAAAACGTCCAAGGAAGAAGCGCAGTGCCCCTGTACCGATACCTGTTGCCCCGCCAGCCGCCCCTCGGACTGGGATACCAGTCGCAATGCCGCAAGTTCCTGTCATGAAACCGGTTCCAACGCCACGTGTTCCGGAACCCCGCAATCCCGCCCCAATCCTTGCTGAACAGAGAAGGATTGAACCTGAGCTCAAACAAGATACAGGTATTTAAAAAAAATATAGTAAATCCAGTAAACTCCAGTAAAAATCAAAGGAATGGCAAAAACTTGCCAAAAATTTTAAATTTCTAATCCTATTTTTTTTGGCAACCTGATGATTTCGTTCTTGATATTTTTAATACATCATTATATACATAATTTGGACCCAGTAAGTGAAAAATGAGTAAGAAATGAGCCTGATGTGTAGAAAATTATCTCTACCGCTAAACAAAATAAATATTGAACATTGAATATTGTTATATCCCTGTCAATAAGTATTCTTTTAGTGACATTGTATTGAATTATCATTTTGTTCATATCTTTAAGAAGTTTATTATTTTGTAAGAAATATTTGTGCTCCTAACTTCATTTTTTTTCAATTTGTTTAAATCATTTGGGATATTTAATAGATTTTGAATATTTTTCCTAGATGAGGGGGGGGGATTTTAAATCTCTTCTTACGTCTTATAATTAGATTTTTAAATTCTAATATGCATGTTGTTTTGTGCTCCAGGTTTTGTGAAGCTTTTGTTTTCAGATATGTCGCCATCTTGCTAATTTCTATTATTTGTATAATACAGGGTGTCCCGCAAAACTTTACAGTAGAAAGATCTTTGAAATTTTTTTTGGCATTCGTTCTTCAACCTATATTTACTTGTATGATTCTTCAATTTATAAATTGAAACCAAAATATGTTGGTTTAGAGTGAAAACTCTTTTACTGGTTTTACTCGCTGAATTTTATAATGGAATAATAATTTTATTTTATAAGCTGAGTCACCAAAATATTTCTAGAAAATTTATGTGTGTCGTAAAATAAATTTGGCGTTAATGAGTTCTAATGCATAAATTAAAACTTGGAAATGTTACACATTTCATTAGACAGACTAAACATTACAAATGATGGCATGCTGTAAAATAAATTTTGGCAAAACAGTAGCCATGATGAAGCTCTTTTCAAGGTACATTCTCCGAGACAGAATCTTCAACTAGTCCACCCTCACGCATTCTTCATGCCCGCCCCTTCATGTTCCCCCCGCCCCCCTCGGGACCGCCCCCACCAGACCAGATGCGCTGTAAGTGGAATGGTAGAAGGGGAATGTATTAAAGGGTCTGTTGGCGTATATTAAAGTGACCCAAGGCTTTGATGAATTTGAACCACGTCACTTCACTGAACCGCCAATGCCAGTTCAAATTACGTGCTGGCTCAAATCTCGAAACACTGATAAAAAATTCAAGTTGAACCAACCATGTTTGAACCGCGCCTAGGCGGTTCTTCAGATTCGGCCTCAAAGCCATTTAAAGAGTTAACTGCTCGATTAACAACGGTAGCCTAAAACAAAACTTCCGTCTGTTGAAGTATGCATGAGGTCTCCATTTTCTCCTTTTTGAAAAATGATTATTTTCAATTGCGGTTTCATTATTAAAGTGACTTGTGGATTATTGGTGCAAAAACAATGGAGAAAATTGTAAGATTTAAACACTTTTCAAGCTACAAAAATGACTCCTTATTGATCAGACATTGGTTTCAAATGCACCTTTGTGATCCGGGCAAGCCCTTCTTTAAATGGAAGGTCACTTTAAATAACATCAGCAGTCCCCTCAAACTTGGAAAATGGGTTGGAAGTGAATGCCCTGATTGGCAGGATTATAGAAAATTATGGCATTAATTTGCTCCTAGTGGAATGTGCATTATTAAAAAAATTCAGCCAAAATGTGATAAATGTATACATGTATAAATGTACTTACCTGAATACAACAAAATAAACCGTAGTCCAATACTTGCTCCTTAAAACTATTCAAACATTTAGGATTAAATGTTACCTACAAATAATGTTGGGCATTTCATATGTTTTAAAAAGCTTCATAAGCAAAAACAAACTATTTTTGGAGTTAGTTGATAGCTTCCAGAAAATAACATTTGGCATATTCCACTGAAATTTAACATCATACAATTTTTATTCTTGTGAAGCTTTTCTTTAAGTCCATTCGGTTCATGTTTAAATCCCTTAAAATGTGATACCCAATATGACATTAGCTTAAAGACATGAGCATGAGGATTTAGGGTTTCAATTCCTGGAAATAGCAATAGCATGAAGCTTTTTCTTTTTCTTCGGACATTGTTGCATGGTGCTTTAATCTAATATCAGACTCTTAATATCCTTACTGTAAATACTAATTTGGAGTTAAGAATTCTCGTCTAAGGATTTGATTACTACTGAATTGGTCGAGACACCATTTCCTGATGCGCTATTCAAGTAGGGTTTCTACCGGAATTCCGGGTTATGGTTCACGTACGGAAATTATCCAAAATAAATTACATTTCCATTTTGGAAAAGGTTTACGCAAATCCAGAATTCCAGACAATTTCCGGAAAAATTTTTTCTTAAAGCGGAAATTTCTGGACTGTTGTTCCGGAATTACGGAAGTTTCTGGAATATTGTTCCGGAAAAACGTTATGACATCTTAAATTTGTGTAAAAGATAAAACCAGTAATACTATCTACAAAAATGTTGAAATTTATTATTTTTTAATTCACCATTTAAAGCCTGATTTTTATGAACTCTTATTTATGGTTCATTTCATCCCATCTTGATCAAATACTCAGGGGGGATGTGGGGGGCCTAGCCTATCCGATGAACCTCTTGAAGAATAAAAACTAAGTGGGGAAAGTGAAAACTGTAACTGTAAAATAGTAAAATATTTGTGAATAAATACAGAAAAAGAATAACAAGTTTTGTTATTATTATTCGGTATGTATAATTATGTACAAAAATTCCAAATTTAATGCCTATAGCACTGAGTATTCCCAGGCGGTCACCCATCCAAGTACTAACTCAGCTCAAAGTTGCTTTAACTGGATAATGGAAACCCTATATTCAAGTAAAAAGAATACCGTTGTGGATTTTAAAAACTGATTTCCAAAAATCCTCTGATTGAACCTCTATCGGAGACCCCTCTACCAATGGACTAGCCTCTGCATGCCAGTATTTTGCCTCTGTTAGTCAGCATCTTGCCTCTGCATGTCCGCATTCTGCCTCCATCATGCATTCTTTCATGTAAATACAATCTCTTAGTGTTGTTTTAAATTCACTAATATTTGGAGAGGAGTTAATTGATTAAAAACTAACTTACTAACTTAATAATGTACTAATTATTTCACTTAATATTTAATTTAATTTATATTGTAATCAGCAAAAACATATTAATACAGTCTTTCAATAGGAACGTGCACGGTTTTTTCTTCCGTTTTTATCCAGTCAACGTATTTTTTACTCTTAAAATATGATAAATAGCAGTTTGTTATAATTCTTATATATTGAAACTGAATGGCAGTAAAGTGATGTCTATATTAAATGAAAATACCTCTTGTAGGTGATTTTTGTTGTTTCTAGGCATTTCCTGTTAGCCACTTATTCTATTTTTCACTTTTCCCAAAATTTGTTTTTATTCCGAAGAAAATGCATAAATTTCGCTTTTTGTATTTACGGAATGATTGTTGACTGTTTTCTTTTCTTTTGTTTACATTTGTTAACACACAGCCTGCTTTTCAATGTTTGTTTACAATTATCCAATTAATTATCTCACCCTCAACTAAGCTTTCTGTGTGTAATGCAGTGATTTTCAGTACTCTTACCGAAGAACTAGTGGGGTATAGTGGAGAGTGATCTAAATGTTTGTTTATATTTAGCACGTGTTGATGAAGGACTGCTGAACTCCCCCCGGGAAGAACAGACGGATAAACAGAAGAGGAAACTAGAGAAGGTGAGCCCTGGGCCCTAATAGGTTATAAAAATGGGCATTCGAACCTTATTAGGTTAACAAAAATTAGCCTTGGACCCTTGATTGGTTTTTAAAATGGTACCTGGTTCCTTAATAGGCTTTAAAAATGGTCCCCGGTTCCTGAATAGGCTATTAAAATGGTCCCCGGTTCCTTAATGGGCCATAAAAATGGTCCCTGGTTCGTTAATGGGCCATAAAAATGGTCCCTGGTGCCTTAATAGGCTTTAAAAATGGTCCCCGGTTACCTAGAATGTTAAATAATGGGCCCTGTGTTTCTTAATAGGTTTTAATTATGCTTACATTTACAGGACTTTCAAGGACGGGCTTACGTATAATTGTAATTATCTCAATGTTTAGGAGGAAAAAGTAAGATTAAAGGAGATTGCAAGACAGGAGAAGAAAGAGAAAGAAAGAGAAAAGAAAGAAGAGCGCGAGAAAGCGAAGGAGGAGAAGAAGAAGGAGAAAGCGGAGAAGAAGGTGGCTGCCAGACAGGGGATGAAGGCTAACAGTGTGCAAGGAGCTGTCTGTATGGATGATTTTAGGTAACTGTTCAGAAATAAGAAATAAATCCAAAAAATATTTTTAATTTGAAAGAAGTCCTAAAAAACATACGCAAAATCTACGCATGACAAAATCATCATAAAATAATCTGTTTTCTCATATAATACCCTTAGATAGGGTCCTTTCAGGTATTGCAACGAACATAAACACAGTCGGTATATGTTGGTCTGGCTAATGGTCTCACAATCTCAAATGATTGTCGATTAAATTGGAATTAAGAGTTTCCGAATAATTTACAAATTGATGAACAATCTCTTTACTTGCTCAGGGCCTTGGTGTTTGGTTCGTTTTTTTATCGACTTTATATAAAGCTTTTGAGATGTTGAACAATTTACAAAGTGTTACTGTCATAAACCGGGATATGTTAGTTACACTTTTACACATTGGACACATTTGATTAAATTTTGTCCAGTTAGCTGTGTTCATTAAGAATTTAGTACGGTAAGCTGTTCATAAGTTATTACATTTATCCATTTTAACTGAATCCTGACCAGCTCTTGATTAAGGTCCTCTTGGTTATGAGTTAATCTCAAATATTTCAATATTAATTATTTTCAAGCTATAATGCCTCTCTTCAGACCGTATTTAATGGAGTCATTTTGGAGAAAAGCACCCTGAGATTTTATTTCATTTTTTTGGCGAGAAACTCAATTAACAGGGAACTGTTTAACTCTATGCAGCCAAAATATAGTCTGCTTTGACAAGATCTGGACCCGAGTACAGTTGTTTTTATACTTTAAGAGTTATGTACAATAATTACAATATATTTTTTGAAATTTATGTTTTTACAAAGAAATATGATGCACATTGTGAAGAATCTTATCTATTGCCAAACAGGCCAACAAAATGACCATCTCTGCTTGTAGAGTTTGTTAAATAAATATTTTTATTTTTCAATAGTCAAAAAACATCTTCAATTCAAGGTAAGTGCAATATTAATGTTTTAATATTTAAAAAAAAAGAATTTATTCTAGAGCAAGTGAAGATGATCCAATTCCAGTTTTCCTTTCAAGAACAATTAAATTCATAGAACTAGAGGTAAATTATTAAATCCATCGTCACATGGGAATACACATTATATTCTCTGCTTATTAATTTATTCAACGAAGACCAAAAAATTAAAGAATTTAAATAAGATTAATAAAATCTGATAAATAGAAATCTTAAAATATAAAAAAAATGAAAACTTCTATTTTTAAAAGTATTAAAATGTGAACCCAGGTAGAACTAACAACTCTTGCTTAAATTGAGAAGGAAAAATTCTTCTCTGATTATCTAAATCACTGGAGATTCCAGTTAATTCGAAGTACCAGGCCGGGGGGCAACCATGCTTAGTACATAAAGACTATAGTTGACTATTAGGACAAATCATTACCTTCTATTAATTAATCTAATAAATGTGTCCTAAGCTGGAAACTTTTTGAATGCTTGATCTTGATATTTTGTTAATCTGCGGTTCAATTTAATATTTATTCGCTATCCCGCATGGTAATCCTACCCTGGAGTAATAACGTAAATGAAATATTCTTCAGCTAGATTAATGTGTTCTCTATACTAGGGTTTGGATGCTGAGGGACTGTACAGAGTTCCAGGAAACCGGGCTCATGTTGATCTTCTCTTTCAGCAGTTCGACGAGGACAAGGTTGGTCAAGGGGGGTCAATAGAGGTCAAGAACGGTCATGTAGTTCAAAAAAGGATATTTAAGCTCAATAAAGGATATTTGAGGTCTTTAAAGAATAATTTAGGTCTAAAAACATCCAAAAAAAAAGTTGTGGGAATTTTTTCCCCTCCCCCCAATTCTTAAAAAAGGGATAAGGGAAGTTATCTATTTATTTATTTTTTACATAACATTTAATATGTATTCTTCGACAAGAAATGAAAATTATAGATTTATTTTCAATGTTGAAAAAATGAAATAGGCTTTTAAGGTTTTGTAAAAGATATAGGTTTTACACAAAACGGGCATTTTTAAGCATCTTTTTAATTCGCGCCGATTTTTGACATTCTTTATATTTATATCTTTTACTCATCTTTTTAGTCTTTTCTTTGTAAAATCGTTTTTGCTTTCTTCGATTCTTCTGCTGATAAATCATTAGCTTAATGTATGGAAATGTAGGTTAATGAATACTAACTAATGTCAATAAAGGTCAATAAAGCTTAAAGAAGGTCAATTTGGTTAATAAAGGTCTATTTGGTTAATAAAGGTCATGACACAAAGGTACAGGGTCACCCACACAGGATGTGACTGTAAAGACGACCCAAAACTCCAAAAATATGACAACTTGAAGTTTGATTTTTAGTTTCATCATTCAAGCAAGTATTTTGATGGTTTTCTAAATGATGATGAAAAGCACAGAAAAAAAGCCAGTTTTGGCCTACAAGGAAACCCAAATGCAAGGAAACGGTCTAAACAAATTCTGTACAATCGTCTCTGAAGTCTCATCCTTCGTGGGTAACCCTGTATGTTTAAAACATGCAAGATTTCAGTCGAAAATGAAACTCTAATTTTAATGTCCTATTTAGAACTACTTTTGCCGTTTACCCGCACTTAAACGAGTTTACCGGGAAACTAAATTATCGCTATTTAAGTCAACCCACTCCTCTAAGAATCTTAAAACCAAGCTAAGAACATTCCTGTGGGACACCCGAGTTCCCCAATTGAAATTCTAGCAAATCGGTCCAGGGGTTCCTGAGTTATGATCTGACAAACAAACGGTCAGACAAACAGATATTACAACTTTATACATATTTAGAATATAGATCTGGGTAGTCTGGATATTGCTGTGAACGCTGTTGCAACAGCTGTCAAGGATTTCTTCTTTAAACGTTTACCTCCTCTCCTACCCACAGAACATATGACAGATCTAGAATCTATTGCGTCAATGCAGGTAACAACCAAATAACTGTTTACGCATATTTAATGGAAAGTAACTAATAGCCAAACAACAGTCTACGCATTTTTTAATGAACGGGAGCTCAAGTCTGATTTCTAAGAATTTAATTTCTTTGGTTTATGTTTATTATTTTTACACTTATACACGGGTTGATGTAAATAGAATTTGAAAAAGTTGAAACAAAGTCCCTACAAACATGACATAGGAATATAAAAATGCCAGAATTTGGAATTTTCTTTATTTATCTACAGAAACACTTGTAATTTTCTTTATTTATCTACAGAAACACTTGGAATTTTCTTTATTTATCTACAGAAACACTTGGAATTTTCTTTATTTATCTACAGTAACACTTGGTATGTTCTTTATTTATCTACAGAAACACTTGGAATTTCCTTATTTAACTACAGAAACACTTGGAATTTCCTTATTTATCAACAGAAACATTTGGAATTTTCTTTATTTATCTACAGAAACATTTGTGATTGCCTGAGAGATCAATTCAAATCACGCTTACAGTCTCTTAATAGCGATAGTCAGAGTAAATTTTTTTGAGAATACAGTATCAATTCTAAACATTGAATCTATCTTGATTTCGTTTTAAAACTTTTTATCAATGTTGGTTATGGGGGTAACGCGCATTTTCGAGTTGCCTAGTATGTATATTGTATACTAACGTATTACGCATCAAATACCATTAATTTACGTTCTTTAATGTACGGGGTATTATTGTTGTTAATTCTTTAATGTACGGGGTAGTATTGTTGTCAATTAGTTTTATTTGTCTGTATTTCATTGTTCAGCACTCAAAAGAAGACTAAACAAAGCTTATTTGTTTGGAATATTACGCCTTTGTTAAAACAAATTAGAAGTTTCATCAATTTTTTTTATGAATGGGTATTGACTAAAACGAGTCTTTTGTACTATGGCTCTGTTTTTTATAATCTTTGATCCCTATATCTAGCTGATTTAAGTTTTCGCACTTTTTGAAATTCATTACAATTTACCTAACAAAGTAAGTAATTTTTAAGCCCCAGTAATTTTGATTTTGGGTATCATGCTTTTTGTGAGATTAAAACCTCGGTATTTGTTAAAGCACTTTTGGTATAGTTTTAAGCTGAATTCTTTGGATATACGTGAAATCCACACTAATATATAATTTAAAAAATTAATCAAAAAGAAGGTGGTTAGGTTCGAAGACTTAAATCAACCCTGCAAGGGGGTAGGACAATCGACTAAGCGCGTTGAAAACAGATTAAAAATCCAAAAGTTTTGACCTTTTGTTTAACATAATTGATAAAACTCTGTTAACTCAAAATTAAAGGGACTGTAAGTGAAATTTCAAGTGACCTTCCGTCCAAACCTGGCAATGCCCGATTCACAATAGTACACTTAAAAGCTTTGTCTGATCAAGTATGAATTAGATCGATGTTTTTAATTTTGTAAACTGATAATTTTAAATTGTGATTTGTTTAGAAAAACGACTTGCGCATTTCTACTGCAGGAAAACTCACAGTAATTATCACAATTTAACACTTTAAAATCTAGAAAAACTATAAAATCTTTATTGATCAGACTCAGAGAAAGTTTTATAGGGTACCGTTGTGAATCTTGCATTGCCCTCTTAGTATAGAAAATCCTTGAAATCATGCTTATTGCTTACAGTCCCATTAACTTACATTTAACCGTAGGATCGTCACATGAAGTTGTTAGAACTGAAGAAACTGTTAGATCGTCTTCCTCGTAGCAACTACGCAGTTATCAAGTTCATTTTCCAACATTTTGTCAGGTATAAGATATTTTAGTTAATAACTACGCAGTTATCAAGTTCATTTTCCAACATTTTGTCAGGTATAGGATATTTTTAGTTAGTAACTACGCAGTTATCAAGTTCATTTTCCAACATTTTGTCAGGTATAAGATATTTTAGTTAGTAACTACGCAGTTATTAAGCTCATTTTCCAACATTTTGTCAGGTATAGGATTTTTTTAGTTTTATATTATTATTTTAAATATGCTTCGGTATTATTTTCATTACCGTAATTATCAGTTTCAATTTTTGTTCAGAAATTATTTTCCTTTTTCAACTTACCTAGTAAACCACCTACTTACCCAGACACCAGTATACCTACCCATCTACCTACCTACCTGAATACCTACCTACCCATCTACCTACCTACCTGCATACCTACCTACCCATCTACCTACCTTCCTTCCTGCCAACCTACCTACCTACCTTTCTACCTACCTTCCTACCTACCTACCTGCCTTCCTACTTACCTTCCTATTTACCTACCTACCTACCTACCTACTTACCTACCTACCTACTTACCTACCTACCTACTTACCTACCTACCTACTTACCTACCTACCTACCTACTTACCTACCTACCTACCTACCTACCTACCTATCTACCTATCTAGGGTGACTGAGCGTAGTAAGGATAACTGTATGGACAGTAAGAATCTCGCAATATGCTGGTGGCCAACATTACTCCAGTATGAGTTTGGAGATCTAACTAAGGTAAGAATTAGATTGTATTTTTTTGTATTTTTTTTTTTGATGATTTTCGATACTTAAGTTGGGAGGGCGGTAATGAAAAAATACAAGAAAAAATCTTATGCTCTCAAACCCCGAATCTGAACTGTTGAAAAAAATATCAGTAAATCTTAAAGAAATGTTTATGGCCTGGATTCGGATCCATCTTTTCCAGTGCGGATCCATCCGAGGAATGATTTGTATTCCTGATTTTATCAACAGCAAAAAAAAAGAAAAAAATAGTTAATTCCAAATTTTAATTTTTAATTGTTTAGTTTGAGACGATGCGACCACATTTAGAAGATGTTGTTCAGACTCTTATTGATCAATTCAGGTAGAGTTTAGATAAAGATATACAGATACGGTAAACTAGAGTTTATGCAGTCACAGTGAGCTAGAGTTTATGCAGTCACGGTAAACTAGAGTTCATGCAGTCACGGTAAACTAGAGTTTATGCAGTCACGGTAAACTAGAGTTCATGCAGTTACGGTAAACTAGAGTTTATGCAGTCACGGTGAGTTTAGAGTTTATGCAGTTACGGTAAACTAGAGTTCATGCAGTCACGGTAAGCTAGAGTTTATTCAGTCACGATAAACTAGAGTTCATGCAGTCACGGTAAACTAGAGTTCATGCAGTCAAGGTAAACTAGACAAGTGTCACCAAAGTGGCTGTTTTTGACGGAGTCTCAGCCCCAACTTCTACGGAACAATGGTTTATCGCTTGTTTGTTTGTTTTTACAAATGGGGGGGGCCACAAAACGTATTACTCTCCGGAAAATTTAAACAGGGGTTAAACATAACTTAGAATTGTCGTAGGAGGCTGATTTTTTGCATGCAAACTCAGAATTATGTATATTACATGCATTTTTTGGTTTTGAAGGAATCTGAGCAAAAGTGCGCGCGCGCGCGCGCTTTTTGTGAAAAATGTGGAAATATGTTTTGTTTTCTGTTACGTAAATAATTTAAAATTTAAAAACAGCTGATTACCGAATACCTATACTTACGTAATAATTCTTTAAATCCTTTTCTCTGATTGGTTCAGATTTTTCCCGGGAAATTAAAATTTAAAAATGAGAAAGTTTAATATTTAAGTAGCTATTCATTATTTTACAGAACTTTTAACCTCAAGCAAATTTTTTCATATTTAACATAGTCCATGTTTTTTTTTACAATGAGATTTAATTACTTCAAATTAAGACGTAAATATTGAGAATTAAATCAGTTTGNGTAATATACATAATTCTGAGTTTGCATGCAAAAAATCAGCCTCCTACGACAATTCTAAGTTATGTTTAACCACTGTTTAAATTTTCCGGAGAGTAATACGTTTTGTGGCCCCCCCCCCCTTTCAGAGTTGTATTTATAATTTTTCATTTCAAACTCATCCGCAAACAAAAAGTAAACAAAACAAGAACGAAACCATTTTGTAAATAGGTCAAATTGGGATTGAAATTGACCGCTTGCTCGGAGAAAGACCGAACCGTTAAATAAGTGTGGTAAATTATGAGTTAGTTAGAACTGTTCAAAACTTCATTCTTTAACGTAATTGTATTATTTATTATCATCAAATGCAAATTTTTTTAAACGATAACATTTTTAGATTCCTGTTCTGTGGGCAAGAAGAAGTGATGATGGTCTAGCAAAACGTTTTATGTCAAATAATATGCATTTAGCCAAGAATGAAAAGTGCAAGTGTCAAATAATTAAAATGTGCAACCTTCAGACAACGAGAATGCCGTGTTGTTTCAACCAAAAAGAAATGTGCAAATGTCCACCAATGAGAGATACGCAAGTTCCAACTACTAAGAAAATCATAAATTTCTAAACAATTGTGAATTTAAAGAAGTTACAACTACAGGAATTCTTAAAAATGAATAAACAGACAAAAGTAGACTTGTAACCCGCTAGTTACTAATCCCAACAAATTTAAACATTTAAACAATTGCTTAAGGAATGAGGATTATGGAGTCCCTTAGTACGCTTTCAGTGTTCAAATACAAAATGGAAAAACTTGTATGCTGATGTCGATGTTTAGGAAAGTGACCTAATTACTATATAAACATGGCCTGTAAAAGACGAAAATCGTTTAATAATATGTTCTTATTGTTCTTCTTCACGAATTTAATAAGTCGTAAATATCCTAAGATCTAGTCAAAATAGCCCGACCCTAAATTAAATTGAGCTTTTTACACCAAAGACCATTAATGAGATTAATATTGTACAGTTGATTCCCATCCCAGTAATATCGTGTACAGTGTACATATATATTGATTATTTTTAACATTCCATGTACAGCGTACATCATGTGCTTGTTTTTGTTTATTTGACCGTGTAGCACTAATATTCTTTTTGCATTTCTTGTGGGTTCGGGCCCGGGGAGAAATATTTTTGTGCCATTATAAAGCAAATAGATATTTGTCAATAAATTATCCTGCCAATCTTAACTTTTTTTTACTCTATCCTACTTTTTCTAACGGCCCTCGTAATATGAAAGCAGCATGACTACTTGAAGGTCGTCTTTGCTCTTAAAAAGAATTTGCGGCATTTTTTCGTAAACCCATATCTTGAAGAATATTTGAATTAGTAATTACAAAATAATCCTTGTCCTTGCATTTCCCAAATGTCGTGAGCATTTTTTGTGTGTTTAAGAGATATAAAGAATTAAGTTTAGATTTTGATTATTTTTGTTTATGTTTAATAAATCGAAATTGAACGAAATTCTTAATAACTCCAGAATTATTGACAAAATTTAGAAAATGCCCGGACAAGAAGAATTTTACAATTATTGCTTCAAGAATCCTACATGTACTAAGTTCGCAAATAATTTCGAAGATAAAAGACGACCACCAAGTCGCCTTTCTATTGTTAAAGCTGAGTGCTAAGGGAAAAACTTGTTGTTTTACATTACCAAAGAAAAAAATCGTAAATTTTTTTCGTATACTTGAACTTTTTCGCGGAAATCCGCATTTATTCGCGAAATGAATTTTGCAGGAGAAAAGCAAATAAAATACGCCTAAAACTATTAAAGGTTTAAATGTTAGTGACAAGATTTAAGATATTTACAGGGGAAAACTTAGTTTCTAAGCTTGACTAAATAGATTCTAGTACAATAGATGGCAACGTAGATTTTGTACACTCTCAGTACAGTTGTATTCTGTCGTTACAAGTGTCAATTCAGTTTTTGTGTCCGACAAAATCATCAATAATAGTGATAATTTTAGAATAAAGTGCTTTTCTTACAGTAAAATAAGTGCAATTTTATGTGTTCTTTAGTTTCTGTTTTTACACTATATTATTTAATCTTGGAAAACATGTCAACTAATTTGAGAAAATTTCGTTTTCCTTGTTATATTTGACACTTTAGTGTATAATTGGTTAATTTCTCTGTTGCCACCTTTTGTACTTGATAATCTATTAGAGCTTGACTAAAGCATACCATTATCAGGTGTATGTTGTAACACATTGTTTTCTGCATTACTATTCTTCACTGTGGTTTAAGAGAGGGAAACATATATTTTCTATCTTTAAGCCCATTGTGCATTTTTAATGTTAGACAACTGAAACACATCGACCCTGTATCCTGTCTAGTTGATCCATGCCTAACGCTAATTTTTTCCTTAGTGCAGTTTACTAGGAATTTCAGTCAACTTTCCCTCGCAATTTTTGGCAACTTTTTTCCACACAGTTTTTCGTTCAATATTTGTGGATTTTTTCGCTGACTTCGCAATTTTTTGCTCGGAATTCCGCGAAAGGAATGCGTAAAATGTGGATTTTTCGTCGAAACAAAAGAAAATCGCTTCTAATGATAAGTTTTCGCTAAACGATTTTTCCTTTACATTGGAAACCCTATATTCATTTGACGAAAAGAGCTATAGTGGTTCGTATAATCTCTGATTTCTGTGCTATTGACAATAAGTTTAAATGTTTCAACGGCCTCTGTGTTGACTGTTTATCGATGCTTCATTCTTAAATCAAGTTTAAGTTTATAAATGCTTTAGTCCTTGTAGATCTTCAGTTTCAGGAGTATGGTGTCGTTAGTTCTCACGGCACCATCAGGTCGACATCAATTGACCTTGTATATACCTTGTGCGACCTAAAATGACCTAACTTGACTTGAAAATGGCTTAAATTTTAAAAGTAGATCGCTGGTTAATGATGCAGAAGTTTTTTCTAATCTGGGTTTCAATGTTGTGTTTAAAAAAATTAAATTTTCGCAAAAAAGTTAAATTTTCTAATCCCTCCATCGTGTTGAACCCTGATGGGGTTTCAGTTGGTCACAATTTGTTTTTGTGGTGGCGGTTTTAGAGAACTGTTACTAAAGTTGCAACATTTTTAAGACTGGCTGTCGACTTTAAAGTGTTTCAACGCCTTAGCCTTCAATTTTATAACCTCAGTAACTCTCATAAATACTTTTCAGTAGTTACTGTAGTGGAGAGTAATTTCTTCAATGCTAATTGCTTACCCCTGGGTACTGATGGGCATGAATGTTATTTCAAAATTTCATACTGGACAAGTTTGATTTTCTGACATTGTGCAAAAATACAAAAGGCATTAACCAAAACGATTACAAAATCGTTTTCGTTTTAAAAAATCGTTTTGGTTAATATCTTTTTGACCAGAGGAAAAAATCGCATTATGTACATTCAAACTAATCGAAAACGCAATTTTACAAATAAATGAAAAACTCATATTTTGTGAAACTTCATTAATTAAAAACTTAATTTCCCTAAACGATGCTCATCACTACCCCTGAGTCCGAATTTAATTAATTTGAGCCGCGTCTCAAATTTGCCAAAAACTGGTTTCAATTGAGCGCCGAAATAAATCTTGAATACAATTTTAAGTGGAACCAACCATATTTGAATCGCGTCTAATATTTAAGCCGCGGCTCAAATTCATTAAATTCGGCCTCTGGGTTCTTTAGTTTCCCTATAAAAATCAACCCAATTAACTAAGAATTTCTAAACCATGAGATAAGAACATATCCGTGTTTTATCCTATAGTTCCCCAATCATAACAATAATCACTTGCACAAGGGGTTCTTGAGTTTTGATCAGACACCCAAACAGAGAATTTTTATAAAAATGTTTTAAAAATGTCGTGAATCAAAATATTGAGGTTTTCAACGACACTAGAAGCAAATATCCATCGCGGGACATCAAATATATCACACTGCAAACTAGACGGAAGGGAAAATGTATAATGTGACATTAATGATTCAACTTTGTGATCTCGTAGCTCTGAAAATCAATATCAAACTCAAGTAAATTTCACGAAAGGTCTCAACTTCTATTATTAAAGATCTATCGAGGGGAACAAAATCTTGTACAGTGAAACCCTTAATAACGAATACATCGAAAGAATTCATCAAATGTCGTATTCTTCACTTTCTGATAATGGAATGTTGCAGATATTTAGTTTTTTAATCAAATGATTATATGGAACTCTTTAAACCCGTTCCCGCATATTCATGGCTATTTATTTATTTTCGGAAATACTGAAATTTACGTAATTTAGTATAAAACTCATTGAAAAATTGTCAAGACGACATTTGATAATTTCTTCCGATGTATTCGTTATTAAGGGTTTCACTGTATATGTAATCAAAACTGGAGTCGAGCAAGCGAGGTCACAAAGTTGTCACATCAATTTGTCTTTCTTCTTTTGTCTGGCTTGCAGTGTGATTTAACAATAACTATGATATTTGAAAATTTCCTTTACTAACTTTACTTAATGAATATAATGAATACATATTTTGATTATGTTCAGATATTGATTTATTGAGGTTAATTTAAAGATAATTAATATATATATTCTTGTCGATTTATCACAATTTTATTTAGTAATTTGTTTGAGTCTTAATGGACTGTGGTTGCCATAAGTAAAGTCAATTTTAATATGTTGTATTTATTTTGTCCATCTTTATCTTTGTTTTGAAATTAAATTTGATTTACTCCCATTTTAGTATTTTAGTTAACAAGCTGACCAGCGTAGCCCGTGGGAAAAAATTTCCAATTTTGAAAAAAAATCGATTCCCTTCAAAAATTTCAGCCCAATTTGGTCAAGATATAGCTGACATATATACAAATATATAAACTTTAGCAAAAAGCTTTATTATATAGATAAACATATCCTTGTTACGCGCACTCCTGATCTCCAGTAAAATATCAACATCAAAGAAGCAGTAGCAGTAGTTTTAAAGATTTAAAGAAAATCTTTCAGCGTTTTGATGAACCCAAAGAACGTTATACCATTGCTTCTCTGTGTTCAACCTAAAAACATGAAAACATTTTGATACAGGAACTGAGTTTTTGCCACAAATTCTGATTTAAAAAAGCTATATCTTTGCAACCTTATGGTGTAAACCTTTGATATTTCAAACTATCATAATTTGATCTAAAATGATTGATAGTTTGAAATATCTAAGGTCTCCGACATTAAAATGCAAAGATATAGGGATAAGAAAATCAGAGTTTGTGACAAAAACTCAATTCCTTTTATAATTTTTAGTTTTTTTAGTCCCTATCGTTGCTTAACCCAATGTTGCAGACCTTTGATATTTCAAGCAATACATTCTGGTTAATCGAATAGTCTGAGTTTGTAATATCAAAGGAATACGCCATCAGGTTGAGAAGATATGGGATTTGAAAATTTGAGCTTGTGGCATCAGCTCATTTTTTCCGAAAGGTTTAAATAGCCCCCCAACAAAATCCGGATAATATTGTGTTTATGATCCTTACTCCAATTCTTTTCCAGAAGTAGCGTTGACTGGAAAGTATCCGTTGGCTGTAAATCCCTGAAAATAATATTTGTATCAAAATTATTTTCCAAATTGTTAATATCGGGCATTTACTGCGCAAACTGCAGTGCGGAGTGGTTCAGAAAATAAAAACGATGGACGAACGAGTTGGATCGTTTATGGAAATAAAAAACCGATATCTTTTTTTAACAAACTAAACAATAAACGATTTTTTAAATCGTTCGGACAAAATGGGGAAAAAATTATCGGTTTTTTTACAGAAGGAACGAATTTTCCAAAAGATTTTGAAAAAAAAACTATCGTTATTTTTATACTGAACAAATGATTTTATTGAACGAACGATTTTAAAAAATGAACAATTTTATTGAACAATCATTCAGTGAGAAAACGAACGAAATAGATGGAAAATAAATGATATTTTTAGAACAAACGAAATCAATTTTTCAACGAAATCAACTAACGAAATGGTTCGTTCACAAACGAAATGAAAAAAGCCCATCTCTGCATAACTGCTTGAACTCACAATGTACATTGCAAAGCATCATTTCAAGGATTATTGTTTTTATTGTTTTATCGAAGAGAAATTGCTGAAAGATTGAGCAACAATTGAAAGTCGAGATAGAAAATGGGCGCGAAGTCCTAGCTGATACCCTAGCGTACTACATTTCACACTACCCCCGGCTCTAAATAGGCTCTCTCTCTGTCTTTGTTATACACCGACTACACGGAACTCCTTTGGGATTCTGCCTCGGGGTTACTGTGAAGGAAACACACAGAAATCTTGAAAAGACGACATTTAGTGTCCTATCTGTTATTTTAATTAACCCTCATGGGACCAAGCTATTTTTATCGTACTAAAGTACCGAGAGGGGGTCAATTTGACACAGCAACATGCCCCCCCCGTCCTATATGGGGGGGACATCCTTTTTGAGATGCAGTTTCATTGGAATAGATATTTACTGACCTGAATTAAACGCTGAATGTCTTTACAAAGACCTGTAACCATAGATTAATAACTAAAACACTAGATATCGTCTTTTTAAGATTTAGAGGTTATTCGTTCACAATATCCCTGAGGCAGAAGCCCAAAGGAGTTACGCGCAGCAGCGTTGAATTACAGGACAGAGAGAGAGCCTGTTCTACGCTCGCATGCAAGTAACTACTTTGGGCTTCTGCCTCGGGTTATTGTGAACGAAAACCCCCTAAATCTTTAAAAAACGGCATCTAGTGCTCTATCTGTATTGCTATTAATCTATGCCTGTAACATTCCAGGAACTCACAACCCATTCCATTAATATATAAGGAATAATCTTCGTCTTCAGGAAAAAAAACTTTTTAACAAACTATAATACGCGTAATTTTACGCGACCCTGTATTCAAAGATGGCCGATTTACAATGGTATAAGGGTCTCATCAAGTTTCTTTTCTTTTACAGGTTCTCAAACTTGTCAGTCAGGACAATGACGGTATCTTCCACAAACTTTGAACAGAATTAAGTATCAACAGTACCGTTGTAAATCGGCAATTGCCATTTTTGCATACAGGGTCGCGTAAAATTACGCTTACAGTCCCTTTAAGGAAATGTTTATGTTTTTGAACTGGGTATCACGACTAATAAAGTTATAATTTTACTTTTACTTCAAATTCTAATTGACGCTTCTTTTACAAAAATGTTATGATTTCAATGTCTTTATTAGTTCATATTGTGTTAGAATTAAAATGATTTCAAAAATATACATATCTATATAAATATATCTATCCATATAAATATATAAATATATATAAATATATCCAACTATATAAAAATATCTATCCATAGAAATATATCTATCTATAAAAATATATCTATCTATATAAATTTATATATCCTTATGAATTTATCTATCTATATTTTTTACTTTATAATTTATTTGCTTTTATAATTTTTATAAAATAAAATGGTACGAGGCATAGTTAATAATTTCATATGTTCATCTTTTTTCTCCTTTCTCCATCTGCACATCTGCAGGTTCTCTTTGTCTTGTCTTTGCCTGTCCATTTCGGCGCTGCTTTTGAAAGAATGTTTACGAGTCGCTGTATTTGCGCCATAATATAAAACAGTGCACGATCACCCTTTCATAGAATAGATGTCCCTCTCTCTGTTTTTTGTTTGTATTGCTTAATTGTAATTGCAGTCTCAGTTCTGCACATTCTGAACTTGCATTTTCTAGGTCACCAATTTTCGCACTTTAACTTAGTTTCTATTTGCTGCGAGGGAGCAATAGCTTCCCAGCCGCACATTTTTACTTTCCTATAAAAGGAGGGTTGCTATTCCAACAAAGGTTAATCAAGTGACTCGCTCAGAGATACTTTTGTTGTAGGATCCAACAGAGAAATGTCCTCGAGTTTCAGTTTGCTGCTTGTGAGAAGATTAGATGGTAGGTAGAGGAGAGTTGGAGATGAGGATAAGGGTGTGTAGGAGTGGCGTATCAAGAATGTTTTGTTAAAAAATATACCATTTGTCCACATGATATATTGTTTCCCAGTCAAGCGGAATTCCTTAGTATTGCATTTAGTGTGCACTGCTGCATGCAGAATGCGAAGTTGTCCCCTTTTAATCATCTGTGGAGCAGTGCCCGGCTCCTATTGCTAAGTGGATTGGGAATAAAACCGGATTAGTATTAGACATATTAGCTCTTTGTTATTCCTATTTCTAGACTTAATACCCTGGCCGTTGGTTCTGTAGTTAAGAAAGGAGGCTAGCTTATAGAGCACGGGGTTCAGGGCTGCTTGGCCTTCCCTCCCTTCTATGTGTAGACAACTTTCTCAGCGTCCACTGAAAATAGTGCAGAAAGCATACTAAGCAGAGCTCTGTCCTCTTAGGCTGTAGGAATGCAACTGTAATTTATCTACAGGGTCTTTCTGCTGAAATGGCAATTTTAAATCATCTATAAATTTGTTAAATTCGCTAAAATGAAACGAAAAATCAGCCGAATAATCATTTGATATTCCAACCATTAAAAATTACCCCATACGAAAGCAAAGGACCAATTCGATCCTTCCTCAACAGGCCAAGAATTGTGAGTAGTCCAGAGAGGAGATTTTAAAAGCTTAAACCCGAGTAAAACCCGGACTTTGCGTCTGCTTAGACCCAAGTAAAGCTCAAAAGAAAGAGAGCTTAGGTCTGTTCCGGCCAAAATGGAGGCCATCACCTGCTTCAAAAGCATAAAATTGCCATGAGCGGCGATAATTAAAGGGGGTAACCGGCTATGTAAGGTAGTTGAACTGTGTATGCAATGTTGAGGAAAACTTCTTTCGGATTCATTTGAGACATATTAAACTTTTTAAAGATCTGTAAATCCTGAGTTTGAGCGCAAATTCGACGATCAAAACTCATACTTTGGGGGTGGATACGTTTTAAGAATTAGTTTTTTTTTAATTATTAAATAACGACAACGAAAAATAAAGTAAAATTATACAGTAATCTAATTAGATGGTTAGAAACATATTTCACAACAGAAATTTGTCAATAAATCAATGCTAAAATCGATTATTTCGTTTTCATTCTTATATTGAATTTCTAATTTGATTTGGATTTATTCGCAGATTTCTTCAAATTGTTCAAATGTCGTCTTTTCAATAATAATTCTAGAAAATCTGCAAAACTCTTTGTGAATAATGAGAAACCAGAATAATGAGATAATAAAAACTAATAATTGAACAAGATTACTTATTTTCGATGATAAGATTAATTTTTATTTTCTCAAAATGTTCCTATACATGACGTCTGTAGTTTATTGTAGAATATTTTTACATTTTATGTCGTCGTTAATTAATAATTTAAAAAAAAAATTCTGAAAACATATCCACCCCTAAAGTAAAAGTTTTGAACGTCGGCTTTGCACTCAAACTCTGGATTTACCGATCTTTAAAAAGTGTAATATGTCTCAAATGAATCCGAAAGAAGTTTTCGACAACACTTCATACGCAGTTCAACTACCTTACATAGCGGGTCACTCCCTTTAAGTATAAATGAAATTGATATGATCTATGCAACACATTTATAAAACTACTTTTGGGAATTTGATTTTATTTATGTAAGACAAACAGAAATTACCATTTCATCAGAAAGACCCTGTAAATAAATATATCTATCTATATAACTATATCTATCTACATAAATATATCTATCTATATATATATATCTCTCTATAGCTATACAAATTTATCAATCTATAATCTCCGTCCTTGGCATTTCCAAAAGAAAGAGTACCATGGTTTTAAATTGCACAAGAAACTTGAAAATTGAAAAATGTTAAAATATCCTTTAATTAGTCAATGTATGCAGCGGAATCTTTATAAATTCTATATAATTCCTTTAAAGTCTTAATATGATTTTTTTTCCCTTCGGATTATTCTCTAGAAATGGGACCAAGGCCTGAAATTAATAAACAGATTGAAAATTTGGAACAGTTAAAATTTGGTTTCAAAACACAGTTTTGGACAGCATTGAATTACAGCTGGATTCGATTACATTTGAGAAATGAATTAGATTAAAGTTAAGAACTGGATTAGATTACATTTGAGAAGTGAATTAGATTAAAGTTAAGAACTGGATTAGATTAATGATGAGAGCTGGATTAGCTTAATATATTGAGAACTGGATTAGATTAATATTAAGATTTGGATTAAATTAAAGTTGAGAACTGGATTAGATTAAAGTTAAGAACTGGATTAGATTAAGGTTAAGAACTGGATTAGATTAATATTAAGATTTGGATTAAATTTCAGTTGAAAAGCGGATTAGATTAAGGTTAAGAACTGGATTAGATTAAAGTTAAGAGCTGGATTAGATAAAGGTTAAGAACTGGATTAGATTAAGGTTAAGAACTGGATTAGATTAAGGTTAAGAACTATAGATCAAATCAAAGTTGAGAACAGTATAAGCTCGTGACTTGTACTAAAGTTTACTTACATTACACTCTGATCCTTCAATGTCCATTTTAATTATTACTGTGTCAGTAAATACAACATCAAGGAGTTCAAGGAAGGTTATTGAATCAACCCCTTCTCCTATCTCATCTTTCTAAACTCAAAGAATATTAGCTATATTTAATCGGCTGTAGACGTTATTTCAAGTGACCCTCTATTTATAGAGTGTCATGTGCAATTCACAGGTACCATTGAACATTTGTCTGCTCGAGGACAGAATAGATATTCTTATCTTTTAATTTGTTTCCAGAATTGTATTGTTAAAACAAAGCCAACGCTATTTAAAGTTCTACTTACTGGTTTGGTTTTGGCTACTTCTTCTGTTAGAAACGGAGTTCCACCTTAACATAGTTTTATTTTGCCATCATAAATAAAACAATTTACTTTCAAGTATTTTAAAATTTAAATTAAAAATAAGGTATACACCACTGCACACAAATTGAAAAGAAAAAAACCGAACTACAAGAAACAAGAGGCCTGCATTAATCTTTAATGCTGTATGAACCTGGAGAATGGAGGTTTTTTACCCATCTGGATCCAGACTTTGCTACTGGCAGCTATAAATATACTCCTTAATATCAAGCCTGGTTAGCTGTTATTAAGTATCTGAACTCATCATCATCATCTATTGAATCTGGTTCTGTGCGCGTAAGCATCAAGGGAGCTCAGAACAGTCAGGTTCTAATACAACTCTCTGCAGTTTCCTGTGGCTGAATGGAACCCTATGTGGAATAACATAAACCTATTGGAAAAAAAGTAAACAATAGTGCAGAGAAGGAGGGGTTTCTCTCCTCCTATCTTGCAAGAAACAAGGAAAATGGAAACATAGAAAATAGAATCCTGATAAGTTGTGCAGCATGCACTATGATACTGGTTTATACTCTGCCGGCTGCAAGGAAAGATTGCTCTAGTTGAGGCCATATGCTGAAGCACTGTGTCCGAGATTAACTTACAAGAATCAGAATTCTTTTGTCAAAAATATCGACTCCTAGCCTAACCTTTCTTATCCCATTTGTCATTATTAAGGTGGAATTCTGACAATAGATATCCTCAGAATCTTCAAACCCTGCTTAGCAGTGACTTTTATTTTTTCCACCCTGTAAGAATATTATAAATATGTTTCCGAGCCTTCATTGTTAGCTAAGCATAGACACTGAGAAAGTTGTATTCTGAAATATTGGAATGCTTACAGTGAAACCCTTAATAGCGAATACATCGAAAGAATTTATCAAATGTCGTATTCTTCACTTTCTGATACTGGAATGTTGCAGATATTTAGTTTTTTAATTAAATGATTATATGGAACTCTTTAAAATTGTTCCCGCACATTCATGGCTATTTATTTATTTTTGCAAATACTGAAATTTAAGTAATATAGTATAAAACTCACTGAAAAATTGTCAAGACGACATTTGATAAATTCTTCCGATGTATTCGTTATTAAGGGTTTCACTGTAGCTAGTCAGACCAAGACAAGAGGGTAATAATCAGAAATATGTGTCAAAATGCATTCTTCCCTTGTCTACAAGAGATTAGAATGCGTGGATCTAAAAGAGAAGAGCAGAAAACAGGTGTATGATCAGATAAAGAGAAGATACAACAGTCAGAGAAAAAAATGCACTGCTCTTTTAAAATTTAGTTTTAAAAGATTTTAATTTAAAAATAAATTGTTAAAAAAGAAATTAAAAAGAAATACCTTCATTGGTTTTGATTGGAGTCCAAGGGTAGAGCGTATGTTTTGAATCACTAAAAATATATTTGTTTAACACAGTGAGACACATAAACCTGTGGAAAATAGGCTAAATTATGATTTTTCAGCATAAACAGAACCATTTCAATTAAAAGTAGATTTTCAGGGTATCTGCAGGTCTGTTCGCATTAGAAAACAACTTCAACACACACTTCAAATTGCTTATTTGTTATATTCCTTTAATTATTTCAACGTGAAAAGATTTTGATTATTTCAGTTTAAACATTGGGTTTTTAAAATATCTTTCAGTTGTCATATGATATTTTTAGTTGTAAGACATTTTTTCTAGATAAAAAGCATCCCTCTCATCACATTCTTTAGGGTTTTTCACAAAGAAAAAATGTATCGAAAAAAGCAACCCAGCAAAAAAGACATACAGTAAAAATTATCTAGAGCAAATATGTTGTCGCACCCTGTACCTCAGTGTAAAGGGTTTATACGTAATTGTGTGGGACGAATGAACCTAATTGTGTGGGGTATGTACGTACTACGTAAATGGGTGGGATGTATGTACCTGATTGTGTGGGGTATGTACCTGATTGTGTGGGATGTATGTACCTGATTGTGTGGGATATGTACCTGATTGTGAGGGGTATATACCTGATTGTGTGGGGTATGTACGTAATTGAGTGGGATGTATGCACCTGACTGGGTTGGGTATGTACCTGATTGTGTGGGGTATGTACCCGATTGTGTGGGACGTATGTACCTGATTGTGTTGGGTATGTACCTGATTGTGTTGGGTATGTACCTGATTGTGTGGAGTATGTACATGATTGTGTGGGGTATGTACGTAATTGAGTGGGATGTATGCACCTGATTGGGTTGGGTATGTACCTGATTGTGTGGGATATGTACCTGATTGTGTGGGATATGTACCTGATTGTGTGGGGTAT